CATGTCTGTCACCGCCGTCTCCCCTCTCCTTTCCTCTCTTCCTCTCTCTCCTCCCCCCTGGAAGCCGGGACGTCAGCATCCCCCAGACAGGATCCAGATGTTACCCTGCCGCCCGCCGCGGCGCCACAGGCCTGCAGGGCGTTGGCCCCGTCACTAGGGGAGGGCTCCGTGGGCCGGCCGGCCGACCCCTGCGCAGGTCACGTGGCCGGGGGAGGGGGAGGGGCGGGGCAATGAGTGAAGTGGTTCCAAGAATTCTGCTGGCTCGTACGTGGTGGTGGTGGGTTAGGGTATTTATTGATGGCCGTTAGTGAGCTCGAGTGTGGTCATCAGTCACCTGCAATGGGAGAAAACGGGACGGATCGTGGCTCGTGAGGGGTAGATGCCCCGCCACCGGAAATGGTAAGGTTCCGTGAGTCATTTGTGGTATTGGATTGTATGGCCTTTTCGGGCTGATCAGTTTATTTAGTTTATATGATTGTTCAAAGCAAACCTTTTAGCTCAATTGAACAAGCTACATGAGCTCGAAAATAATGCTCAGTGGGTGGCAACGCTTTTAGGCCATTTTCCATGGTACCTAAAAGGTGATATTTATTTCATATTAATCCTACTAAACTCCATACTAAAGCAGGGTAATTGGCTGCTGACCCGTTTCATCAGTGGCTGCCTCAAAATCCTCACGTCAATTCCTCCGAAACGACCTCAGCGATCAGACTTCACCGCCGTGACACGATTCCCTGACATAATGACACATTCGGTGACATATTCTGTAACTCAATCGGTCACTATCAGTGACACAATCTGTGACAAATGCTGACAATCGATGCCGTCTGCCAACCCTGTCGGCCACACCCTGACCCCTCCCCTCCCTCTCTCCCTCTCTCCCTCCCCATGCTATCGATCGGTGTCTGCCCGCTGGACCGAAAAGTCGACCCGAGTCACTGGGTTCACAACTCACTGAGTTGGACGGCGGCTGAGTTGAGTTTGACAACTCAGTTGACACCAGTCAAATCCAACCTGACACCGTCCCGGATGACACCATTCCTAACTGACACCAATCCTCTGTGGACCGGACTAATCTGACACCACATCCGAGGTGTCTTAGTGAACCCGGCTTGATGTCAGTTAAAGACAATGCTCAATGCTCGGCGAACTGATATCTTCGAGCTCTCAGAGCTGTGCCCGGGGCGCGAAATTCTCTCCTTTCGGCCCGGCATAACTCGTTCTAGGCTCGATGGATTCGATCTGAGTTACTGTACCCGACCCGACCGGGCTCAAATCGACGAACGAACGACGACGTTTGCAGCCGGCGGCGATGGCGACATATTTTATCGCCTTTTAACGAGCTGACCATTCGGCGGCCGATGGCGGCGCCGGGTCGCGGGGGTCAGGTCCCGGGGGAGGGGGGGGGGGGTCCAGCCTTTGTTTCGTCGGCGCAGTGCCCTGACTCGTGGTCTGCTTTGTTCAGCACCATGGCGGCAGAAGGTTAACCCTGTTCGACGCGCAGGAATTGGTCTTGTGGTTGACCTAGTTTGGGTTGAGCGTTTGTTTTAATTTCAATATTTCTTTAATGTTTTACGCCTTCCTGGCAGTTACGTTTTTTTACGCGTGTTTCACGTAACTGCATCCATGTTTTACGCATCAGGTAGCTCCAGTTAGCCCTAGACTCTCCAGTTAAACGTTCGACCCGTCTGCCTGAGTGTCCGTTCAGATTCATCAGAGCCTATCTGCCGTCCGGTTGGCCGGCTACGACGCCCCAGGGCACAGCCGAGGTCATCAATCGCTGGGGGTCATTTCCACTCCAGTCGGCCGCCCCATCAGGGACAGATTGCAGCTCCGGCCGGCGGCACAGCGTATGACCTGGCTGGGGCGCTCATAGCGGAGCGCGGCAATGGTGATACGATGGAGATGGTATAGGTACGGTGCTGGGTTGGTGATGGGTTACGGGATGGTGGTGTGCGTTCGTGCTGGTGGTGACGCTCACCATTGGTGATTGGATTGATGTTAAGTGCATGGCGTCAGTTCCAGTGCTGGTCCTATACAGTCGTCACTGGTGCTTGGCTGGATGCGTAATACCATACGCCGGTATTTTAACACTCAACTGCTGGCAGCGAGGCTTCCCTGACGCATGTGTCGTCATATTCCTCACCTCGGGAACGAGTCATCGCTCGATGTAACGAGTCACCACCTTACTATGACTCCTGACGCGACATTGAACCGACTCACTGGCGCCTTGACTGACCGCCTGTCTGCCGCCTGAGGGACCCCACACCCCTCCCCCCGCCCTGTCCCTCCCTGCTCCTCCGCGGCCCGACCCGTGCCGAGCCGTGCCGTGCTGCCTTGCCCCGTGCCGTGCTGCCTTGCGTTCGTTGAACCGTGCCGGCGCCGGGCGGGGCACGACCGGCCGTTCTCGGACGGTCTCGAATGCTACGGCCGGATGTCACTGGACTCGTGGGCGCTTCCGGAAAGCGCCGAGATGCTCTCGCACAGCTTCCGGTCGCGTGCGGATGATGGCCTCAGACGTGATGAATCTAGACGTAGCTGGACGCTTTCGCTGTTCTCTTGCCATTCTTTCGCCGTTGTTTCGGGCATTTTATCGCCGTTTTCTCGCCATACTCATTTTTTGCTTATTCTCTCGCCGTTCTCTCGCCGTTCTCTCGTCGTTATCTCGTCGTTCTCTCGTCGTTCTCGTACCGTTCTCTTGCCGTTCCAGGGTGTGCCCGTCGAGCACGGCGTTCACTATCGATTTTTGTGCCGGGTGCCGGCCGGCGGACGGCGGCGGCGGCGTCAGCCTTGAGCGCAATTCTGGGTACTTAATGCCCCTCCCCAGCCGGCCGGCAGGGCGGGCGGCGCCCCGACAATGCTGGCTGCCGCCGTGGCGCCTGGTGTCTGCCGGAGTGGCGACGGCGAGAGTCGTAATGCAGGGGCAATGGTGTCTGTTTCGATGGGAACGGCGGCTATGGGATGTTTGGTTGAAAAAGTCGTGGACATATCCCAGTCTCGGTGGCTATCGTCTGCTTCGATTGTTGCAACGCTGGGATGCTGGAAGATAAAGGGCGTGTCACAGATCCTGAGCTTTTGACTCTACGATCGTCGACCAGCGCCGGCGCCGGCTCCCAAACTGCAGGTGGCCCCCGTCGCCGGCCGCCCCGCCGGCGTCGGTCTCGACGTTGGGCGCCCGTCGGTGTCGGCACGCGCCCGTCTGCCGACGCGTCGGCCATCGACCTCCCTCCGGCGTGCCTCGGGCTCCGGCTCCGACGGGCCGACAGACCGCCGCCATTTGCTGGAAATAGGTGTGGCGGCGGCGGCGGCGCCCGCGGCGGTGGTGACTGCGGCCCGCGGCCGGTCGAAGAGGGGCACGGGGTGGGTATCGATCGGCTGCCCCCGTTGAGGGAGTGAGACTGGGCCGGCCGTTACCCCCTGCCATGGAGCGTTGGAAGAACTGAATTCTCTGAGGGGTTAGCTTTCTGGGCTGGTTTGCCTAGATACTTCCTCAGGCCAGACTATTGTGTCGCTGGAATTGAAGCCTGATTAAATTGAATGGCGGCGGGGTCATCGGAACGACACTATAGGTCTCGCGTGGTGAACATGCAGTGTCCCAGCTGCACGTGGGGTTCCTCTATGGACTGATGGAAGCACGCAGTACCCGAGGTCATTCTATAGCTGACCAACTGGGTCGTCTGGGCCCCGGGCGATGCAGTGCTCGTGTAAAGCCATTCTGCTGATGGAAGCAGGCTGTTGAGCCGGCGAGTTCATTGAATTTGATCGAGTTTGTGGCTCATGCGGTCATGGGTTCGGAATTTAAATCGGGTGCCAGATGACGGGAAATTTCCCGAGTGGTCTATATGCTTCCTGTCACTGCCTGACTGATTTTCAATGGCAGCTTATTTAGAGTCGGGTGGGGAGTGATAACCACAGGTCATGTCATGTTCGACTCTCGGTGGGCCTCTGTTGTCTAACATCCTGGCCTTTAATGCTCTACAGCGCGGCTCGGTTACCGAATATTTCCTGCCCGGGCGGCACCACAGTGAGCTGTGGCCTTCCTGTGCCCACAGAGGTCACTGGAAATGGGTACAATAGTCGAGCGTTGTTAGAGACCCAATCCAAGCCGAGATCTGATCTCGGTCAGGTGGGGTGAGATCACCGCGATATCTCGACCTTGTTGAGCGGATTTAGGATGTGATATTAATCACACAGCTGTGAGTTTTCTTGTCAAGATATGTATGTTGAAATGACTAACAGCTTGAATAGGAGAGACGGAAGAATGTTAAACTCTGTTATCCTCCGTGGCCCGTTATATGTTGCAAGGGTTTCACCTTGAAGTGGTGTTATCTCGCTTTTGTCGTTCTGACTGAACGTGGCTGCGCTTGCAGCTCATGAAATTCGTTCAGACACGATTTATGTTTCGGTCATATTTCACTCTGTGATTCGGTCCAATTTATCCCCCAGATCTTTATTGTAACCCTCTAACGCTGGGTTCCCCTGCTGTTCCCTGTTTTATTCTCCCTCCGCGCGAATTGTCGTTTTCTCGCCATTTCTCCTCCCCTCTCAGTTCTTGCTTTTACTACTCCCCGCATGTGTCCGGGGCAATTTTCACGAACGGCCCCACCGTCCCGTTTTTATCCTCCGCGCGGCGTTCTCGCCGTCTGTGCGTCGTTTTTGTCTCGTTCGCTGCGCGCTCAGCGGTCTGCTGCCGCCTCCCCACAGGATCAACAAAGCCTGGCGCAGCAAGAACCCGGGCGAGTGGCTGAAGGCGACCCGCCTCAACCTGCAGCAGATCTGGGAGAGCAAGATGCCCAACCTGGTGCTCAACATGGCGTTCAAGATGCGACAGAAGCAGGTGACCTCGCGGCGCACTGCCTGACCAGCACTCGCTTCCACAGGTTCTGTAGCAGCATCAGCAGCAGCAGCGGCGGTGTCCCGTCCCTTGTTTGGTCCGCTTCTCTTTTCTGTTTGCTGGCTTCTTACGTTTTGTTGGCGCTGGGCCGCCGTCCTCTCGGCAGGATTGTGAGCTGGTGGAAGACCAAGGTTCCTGTCCGCATGCTGGACGGCTACAAGATGGACCTGCAGAAGGTCTTCCAGACTAAGATTCCCGCGCCGATCCTCAACTTTGTCTTCAAGCAGAAGATGAAGAGCGTAAGTAGACCGCACCGCGCATTTGCTTCTTGTTTGCACCACCTGAGTTGAGCTTTTGGTGTTGTCGAGACAAGTGTTGTATGTACCAAGCTAGTGTTAGATTAGAGTACCTATTGTTAGTGTGTGCTCGATCATTAAATGACTCGTTCAGATGGGTAGCAACTACATACGGTCTCATCTGTCAATTAGATTAACTCTATATGCGGAAATTGGCGCGGTTGATGAACCACGACGTTAATTTAGTCGTAAGCCTTTGACTCGCAGTCAGGCTCTGAATCCGTGAATGTTTTCTGACGTAATTAGCCTGGCTTAACGGTGAACAGGAAGTTATGTGGAACACTTCCGTTTGTGAGCGTTTCGTGATGGAATTGGACGGAAATTCCTTGTCATCGCTGGGCGATATGCCCAGAGTTCCTTGGCTGAACAAAGCTCACGTGCGCTGCGGAGTCGATGGTCCGATTGGGCAGGCATGTGTGCCCCTGAGTACCGCGAAATGCCGTGAGCGCGCTGTGTACGGTATTGTTTCGAAATTCCTGTGAAGCTATTCTAAACATAACCACGTGGCGTGAGTCCAGAGGTTAAATGTAGCCGCGAAATAAGCAGCGACGCAATCAGTATTGTCAAAGTCGAGTATTAGCTATCGTCCAAAAGTCGATCCCTGTTTTCGGCTCGTTGGGTTGACGATTCATGGACGCCGGTCTGTGTGCGACATATCTGATATCGGTGCGACAAATGTGTGCCCGTTCAAACGGCTCCAGTTTAAATTCCACCGTGACAGCTTCCGTTTAAAACTCGCTTGCGTCGGGTCTGGTTTAAAACTCGCCATGCGCCGGGTTCCGTTTAAATCCCGTGTAGTGCGGCTTCCGTTCAAATTCTCCCACGGGTGCTTCCGAGTTCCGTTAAAATCCCCAGCCATCAGTCATGTCTGTCATCTGTCAGCGTCCTTACCTTCCCTGTGACCACTGACCACTGTTATTCAGTCTCCCAGCCTGGCCCAGTCTAGCTTCCAGGGCGGCGATGTTTTGACGGCGTCCTATGACCGGTAGACCGTGAGCGAACTGATGAACCGTCGCTAGATTAAAGTGCAGCCGGCAGATAACTTCCCCTCCCTCCCCCTGCGGCAGTCAGCGCTACATCAAACGATCGCCTGCGCTGCTGTAACCACAGGGCGAGACTCGATGCGTGCCGAAAACGTTCCGAAAGCGGCCCGACGCGAGTACCGAACCGTTCCGCCCGTGGGTTCATGTATACTCCGCCCTGCCCGACTCGGTCCGGACCCGTCACGCTAGTGATTGGTATTTGGCAATCACTAGAGCCCGTGGCGGCCGGCTGGTGGTTGATATTTGGTGGTGATGGCACCACGCTGACCGCTGTCAGTTTATATAAACTCACTGTGTTGTGGCAGTGGTGCTGTGAAAATAACGTCACGTGTGCTCTTTCGTCTCGTGCGTAAGGAAGGAGGCAGTACTGGGAGGGACTAATCTGACCCATAGGGAGACTAAAGTGGCCCTTTGGGAGACTATACCGGCTCGTATAGAGAAATACTGGTTCATAGGGAGACTATGCTACTACGAGGAAAGACTTAACAGTCTCGTTTTGACTGGGAAGGCTAAACGCGTCTTTAATTACTAAGGAGGTAACTGGCTCTCTGAAAGACTACGAACGTAGGTTCGTAAGGCCCGCGTCTGTATGGAGGCGCGGGGCCTACCCGTGAGACTTTTATCCAGCGGAAGGCACCGACTCGCTCGCTGAGTGGTCATGGACTTTCCGCTCGTGAGCTCACGGATTATTCAGACTTTCTCGGTCGTGGCTGCGGGGCCTGAGTGCCGTTATAAATAAGTGGCTAGACTTTCTGCCGAAACTGGAAAGTCGTGGCGAGCTCGTGGTCTTTGGTAATATCAGAAAGCGTGCGATGGAAAGCGGCCGCGTTTGTTATGGTTCGGTTTAATGATAAAATTTCGCTGCAGAATAGAGATCTTAGTAATGAGCTTCCGCGAAGCCAGCGGAATACATGCTTACTTCCGTACACGATGGAAATGTTCGACAGTAAAGGAACGAACTCGTGTGTAACTTTTCTATTTTCATAAAGGTGGAGACGTCTGGGTTTCTTGTGTTCGCTATGCTGCGAAACCAGTGATCGTAATGCCTACCGAACCCTAAATCTCCACAAACCGTTTTAATTGTTCAGGCTTAACGAAGATATGTCTGATAATAATGTGCTCTGAGACTCGATGTGTAATTTTTAACGTCGTGTCCTTGCGTGTTTGCAGAAGTCGAAGGCAGTGAAGGCGGTCGGCCTGGGCGTGCACAAGTCTGAGGAGATCGAGGACCTGGGCAAGAGCGACCTGAAGGCCCTCTCCGACCAGCTCCAGGACAAGCCGTTCTTCTTCGGCGACGAGCCCACACTGGTAAGATTGTGCGCGGTGAGGTGAGCTGTGGTAAGAACGTTTTTTACTTTGATAAGCAGCTGATATTCTTAGGGTCGGTTGAAAGAATGGTTTGAGTGTTTTGCGACCACTTCTTAGGCGATAGACTCGCACTCGCGTTGTTTATTGACTTGAGATCATCCGCTAAAGATTCGCGGTTGTTACGGCCTCTTTAGTTGAACGGGATCATTTTGGACGTCAAGGTGACTGTCAACCGATAGTCACTGAAACTCAACGACCATTCCTTTCTGAACCTTCTCGGAAACACAAAGGATCTGACGACTCAGCTATCTCAACTTACCCGGTAGACGTTTTGGATCACCAACTTCGGACAGAGTTTGAGAGGCCACTCAACACTCCATTCAGTTCTACCGAGAAACGTGTGCGAGCTGTATTGACCTTTCATTGGTTCACCAGAGGCGCCTCGGTACCGTTTCGGGTAGTTTACCGGCTCGATTCTGCGTAACCCTTCAAGTGGTGATCTGCTCCAGTCGGGCTTTAGGAATTCGCGGGGCGGACCGGAAACTGTGGTTAATTATCCTCGGAATGATGTGGGAACTGTGAGCCAGCTGAGCGGAATGCATCGCTCAGTCGATATCCGCTCAGCTTGTCTAAGTCATCTGTGTTGGTTTGTGTTGGTTTGAGCATCACAGGGGTGTCGATGGGAGTCTGTATAGACTGTAGTCTTTGTAGACTAGTCTGAGGAGTCTGCAGTCTGTGTAGACTGTAGTCTGTCGGCGTGACGGTGTCTGTGACGCGTCACGGGCCAGACGCGCCGAGAATGTCTCCGTCGCGCCGTCACCGTCACCGGCGCCCGGGTGATAAACACAGGGGACGCTTCTGTGAGTCAGCGTGCCCCTGCTGAGGGGGGGGGGGGAGGCTGGGTGCAGGCTCACTCTCCAAGGCTGAGGGCTCATCTGGTGACTGTTCGCAACACGCCGGAGGGGTGGCGCCGGCTGGAAGAGACGAGATCCGTGAGGGGAGATGCCTTCATACGGATGCCTGTAGCTGCTCCTAGCTGTGGATGCTGACGATATATGCTCATATAGACTTTAGAGGCTTTGTATGTTAAATCTGATTGTGTAGGTTTTACGTTTTTAGGCTTCGTTGTACAGCGCATAGAAAGCATTTTTGAAGCCCTGCGAAATATTTGCGTTCTATCAGCTCTCGTTCGTCAGGTTTCTTGCGTTGTACGTCGGCCGGTCTCTGAGCCGCTGAGCCTGCCAGGTTCGCCGGCTGTCGAGTTAGTGAGACCAGGGATATTCCCGACTTCATCAGCGCTCCCATACTTCTGATCCGCCAAAGCCTGGCTCGACGCCGGCCGCCACTGCTGTCTCCGCCGTTCGCTCGTCTAAGTTAGGCTCGTCTAGGCTAGTTGCTTAGTCTAGCCAGGTCGGCATGGTAATAGTCGGTGGCTTGAGAGCACCGGAAGGGGGGGGGGCGGTAAATGGAAGGGTCAGGGTAGCTGTGTTACATAAGGCATGCTACTGGGGAAGTAATGAACTAATGGTCTGTGGGCTGTGGCACATTAGCCTTAGTAACTGCCTAGTCTTGATTAGATATTAGACGTCTTTTTCCAGAGAATAGTGGATCTATTGGTTCATTGAATCAGGTTGAATCGTCTCAATGCCTGCCATTGGCTGGCAAATAAACCACTCGTTTCGTTTCAAGTTAGTATCGATCATCAGAATGATGCTGAGACAATGGTATTCTGTTCAGCTTGTCAGTCGTTCAGCCTATCACCGCTTCCATCGCCCTCATCGACTAGTGACTCGTCTCTACATCGATTGACATATGTCTGTTCACTCCGACCCGTACCATTTCATCAGTATCAGCAGCTGTATTTTGACGCGGCGCCTGTTGTGACACCCGCCGTGGGCGGTCGGGCCGCTGTGACAGCCTCCGATGTGTCACCGATAGTCAGGGAGCCGACAGGCGGACAGCTGGCTGTGGTGGTGGTCCGTCCCGTCTCTCAGCTAAGAAAGTCCCCCGGCGGGGCGGTGACACGGGCCAGCCGCTGCCCCCGAGAGTGCTGATTGTAGTTCCGTCCGGGGGGAGGGGTGGCCTCGGGCTAACTAACCCCAGAGGGCACGAGGGTCGCCACTAAAGACAAAGCGAGGCGTTGGGTCTCTCTGACTTGTGACCCGCGCTGTGGCTGGTTCAAAGTGGCCACTGTGCGGCTACAAAACACCCCGGCCGACCGAACTAGACAGCTTGATGGAGCTACTGCGGTGACTGCAGAGCCGGCGCCATTTTGTGGAGACCACAGGGCGTGGTCGGTGTCGCTGTCAGCTGTGACGTGACGTGGCGGCGACCGGACGTCACGTTCCGTGATGCTGTCCGTTCAATCACGGCTCGTGACACAGTCCCTGTGGTTCAGCCGAGCGGTATGGATCGGTCTGTACAGCCGGTATTAATTACCTTTCCGCTACGAGTTCTGAACTCCGTTCAAAGCGAGCGAATCCCCTCTCGGCTGTGATATGTCAGAGTGCAGCCGACAGAGGAAGATGTGTGGGAGTTAACTACCGGCGAGTTTCCGCTAAATAGCGTCTGTGACCCACGTGAATGAACCGATTAAAGTCCAGCCATCGCAGCGCTGAAATGGTACCGGTCGGTGCCTGGACAGACTCCTCAGAGCTAATGGTGATCCATGTGGCGATACGAGTTGTTACATTCAGGATTATGGGTCGATTGGGCCTGGTTAATCGCTGGCTATGAGGCGGTTAATATGGCGAAACTGGGTCATCGATTATTGGGGATGGTTTCCGCGGAATTTGAATGTCATGTTTGCAATCCAATTCATGGACTTTTATTCTGATAGCTGATATGCTCGTAGCAGTGGCTACTGACTGTTGTTTCAATTTACCTTGTATAAGACGCACTTTGATTTGTACTTCGATTTGTAAGTGCGGCGATTGACATTGTTCTTCCTTCTTATTCTGTCTAAATACCAAATGGTATTTCTTAGCTCTCCACCGTCAAATGACAAGACCTTTTTGCCGTTGTAATCCCCCCGCACACACACACACATAAACATACAGTGTCTTATGCTACCACCCCTTGACCCCTCCCCTCTTCTCTCCCCACAGCTGGACATCGTCACCTTCGCCAACGTGGCTCAGCTGGTGTTCCTTGACAAGGAGGTGGAGTGCCCGCTGAGGAGCTACATCGAGGAGTCGCACACCAACCTGGTCGGCCACGCCAACCGAATCAAGGAGCGCTTCTACCCCGACTGGGAGGAGATGTGTCAGAGTCTGGAGCTCAACACCCACCTGCCCAAGCCGCCGCCCAAGGAGGAAGTCAAAGAGGAGGAGGTGAAGAAGGAAGAGGCCAAGAAGGAGGCGCCCGAGGCGGCCGCCGAGCCCGCGGCCGATAAGGAGAAGGTGAGAGGGGGAGAGGGAGGGAGGGAGAGAGAGAGGGGGATGTTAGAGGAGGGGAGGAGAGGAGAGGCGGGAGAGTAAACTCCCCAGAGGTTGGGTAATAGGCGGCTGTTTTTAGATGATATATTGCGCGCTAAGTGCGCTGAAAAGAACGAACGGGGATGGCCCAGTACGATAAACGAGCTTTGGCAAGACGCGATTTTATCTCTTGCAGCGAGACATCGATAAGATATGCCTTTTTGTGAAAACAAATGTGAAATAAAAATGGAAATGAAAAATGCACTCATTTTAGAGTGTGGAGCTGATTATCTGTGAATGGAACATGCGCAAACGCCACGTTTGGGTGTTACATTTGTTTTGACGCCCGGTCGGACTGAAAGAATAACGCCGAGTCATTGGGCCGTGCTCGTTAAAATCACAACATCGGGCCGCAGTAACCATGCTGCATTGTGCTTCACACTATGCACATTCCGACTAACAAGGCGGTGACAATCACAACAAAAAGCCGTCCGCGTCATCCTAAATATGACCTCTGCTACTCGGAACAGAGCGTCGCACCAGATTGCGCCCACTTGCAAAGTTGGCCCGTCCTTTGCATCTTGCAATACCGACTGTGTATACAAACGAGCGCCGAGACGGCTGAGGAATTTGCCACTGCTGCAGTTTCGAGTTTTGTTTGTTTCTGCCGGCGGCGGCCGATCCAGCTGATGACATCACGCGCGCGGCTGCTCACGCTAGCTGCTGATGTCGCTGTTGAACACGGTTTTTTGTCGTTACGGCGTGATTTTGCATCGGCCGCCGCCCCGACGGTGACTAGTTACCGCTGTGCATACCGCTGCATACCGCATACCGTTGCATGTGCATACCGCTGAATCATGTCTCGCACGGCTGGTCACAAGGGTCGCACAGTTTGCCTGATACGCGCGAATTGCGTGCTTGCTTTGTGCGAGCTCTGAACTAGAAATTAGGTTTGTGTGGAAGTGAATCAGTTTAGGCGGCTCGCATTCGGGTGTGATACGAGTTGCCGCGAAACTGGTGACCAATGCGTGTATTCGCGCTGATTGCGTCTTTTCTGGGTTTGTTAGCTGTCACCATATGCGCCAGTTTTTCCCGGTATCTTATCACATTCCGTTCAATTGTACCCAATGACTGTACTCTATCCTATTAGTGGTAAATTTATCCATCCTGGGAGCGCTATAAGAGGCACTCGAAACGTATCAGCTATATACGGTTCATCTCGCCTATTCAGCGATCAGTTGATATCATTACTCTGGGAATTATGCAATCTATTATGATCAGTGGAGTTGTCGTTTGGAAAAGAAAACCCCGTGACCGCCCCGAAGACACGTGACCTATGCGGGTGATATCATCTGCATTCTGCAGGGGAGTTTATAGCATCACGGGTATTCCCTGGTCCCGTTATGATTATTGTCTCAATTGGAGAACAACAAGTGAGCAAAGATAAATTTGTCGTGGTTTGTCTTTTGCAGCCTGTCAGGTCTTCTGACTCTGACCCGGAAATGGTGTAATAAGTTAGTCATAGGCGAGCTTCGACCGAGGTGAACTCTGCCAAAGTAGGTTTCATCGAGTTAAAAGCACGGCTCAGTTTGATTAGTTCAGAATTGGGACAAGTTGATAGCCTGTTTAAACAGTTTTCTTACATCATCACAATGCGGCGGTGTGATTGCTCCATATTCACGGTTTATCACCGGTTGGTTTGGTTAGTCACTGGTGCATAGCGCAGTTGAGGCGACTCCGAACAATCAGATATTCTTATACAAACAATCGGCCAATCTACGACGCCGAGCTGGCAGCGTTACGGCGAATTCAGGCCGTACGCGGTACTACTAAATCGGTCACGGTATCTCTGTACGATCCTTATCAGCGAGTTGGACAGAACACCTGGGTATGATCTGATATCATACTGATAAACACCTGAATATGTGAAAGCAGTACGTCATAGAATACCTAAATACGTCATACAACACCTGTTCGATGCATAAAGACGAGAACAACGAAGCGAGACAATAGGGATCGAAACCAATGAAGGAAGGTGGACTGGCTGCGAATTTAAATGACCGGTTTCCTTGTAGGCCATAGTAAGCTCGCTGTACTCTTATCTGCCCGAGCGTTAGACCGGACATTGCCGATTCCATCGTGGGTCTATGGTGCCTTTAGTGCATACGTCCCGTGGTGCGGGGGCAGCGGTTGGAATTTTCTGTTGGAATTCATGCCACGCATGGCCACCTCCTCCGCGGAGACGAGCAGGCCATTTGCAACGGTTGTTCCGCGCCTCTTACCGTCGCTCACGTGCTCTTATCTTGTCCACTTTTAGAACCAGACCGGACGCGCTACCTCGGCCGCATCGCTCCGGGTACCACTGTCCGCCACCTGCTGGGTGACGAGTCACCCTGGGTTTTATCTGGCAACATCTTTTCCTTTATCCGCGCAGTCAAATTCCAAGCGATTTACTCGACCTGACCCAAATCCTCTCTAGTCTCCTTGTCTAGTCAGTTGTCTATTACGACGCTCTTGCGTTGTTTTATTTTACCCTGTCTTTTTTTTATAAAGTCTTTTACTTTCTAGTCTTGATATCTAGAAAGTTTCTTCTTTTGAAACACTTGTTTTACTAGCGCGACGTTATGGGCGCAAAATGACCTCTGCAGTCGACGCGCCCTAAAGCCCCAATAAACAAACAAACAAACTGGACATTCCGATTTGGTTACGATATGTTACGACAGAGTCGGTGGACCGTCACGGGGCGGGGGGATGTGACTGTCCTCGTGACGGGTCCTCGTGACGGCCCGCGTGACTAGTTAGAGCTGGTGTGATCCGGCGGATGGGTGGGGGGGGTGGGGGGGGGAGAACAGGGGACGATGGAATATTTATTGTATTTCAGTGATTCAGATCCACGTGGTTATTGAGTAACGTCTATGAACTACGTTTTGCTGCTGATAAATTACGACGTAAGACTGGCTGTGATTTTCGTGAAAGTGACATGACTGCTACTGTGGCCATGGCTCTGAAGGGTTGACTGATGGGTATGGCTGAAGCCATTTATGTGATTGTGATTCGTAATCTAAATGGGGCGCTGAATGATTGACACTTTGAAGTGACTCTGACTAGACAATTGTGTGGAGTTCACTATATTGAACTATAACTTGCTGTGAATGACCATGGCTCTCTTTTTACTTGACTGACCAACTGCGAGTTTCTGTCCTTGATTGTGACAGACACTGTCTCCGTCGACTGTTCACTGTTCAGTAATGTATGTAACTATATAAGTTGACTGTGAGTGATCCGTCTGGTTGACTGTGACCGACTGTGACCTCTGACTGTGACTGTCTCAGTCTGTAGTTGATTGTCCGGTAATTTATGAGGCCAGTTTATACTGTGAGTGACCTGTGGTCGACTGTGACCGACTGTGACCCCTGACTGTGACTGACTGTCTGTCTCTGTAGTTGACTGGTAATGTATGTGACCAGTTTACTGTGAGTGGCCTGTGGTCGACTGTGGTCGACTGTGACCCCTGACTGCGGCCGGCAGCGGCGCTCGTGTCTGCCGCCCATAACTGTCCGGGACAGTCAGAGTCCATTACCGGACGGGAAGTGGCCGCCCCACCCCTCCCCTCTCTCCCTCCTCCCACCCCTCTCTCCGCGGCGTCACTCAGTCGATATGTCTGCCGCCTCCCCCTCTATCCCCGCCCCGGGGTACAGAAACTGTCACCGTAGCCCGTCATGGACCAGTCTCTGACGAGCCCCGGTCAACTTTGGACCAGCTCTGTTGTACTCTTTGGTCAACTTTGGACCAACTCCGGCCGATTCCGTTTCGGAGAATACCCCAGCCGGGCCGGACCGACCGAATTTCTGCATGTCTGGTCGAATTGTGCCGTTGATTGGATTCGTGCAGTGGCGGCGCGAGCCTCCCCGGCGGTAGTTCGTTATTTCCGGGGGGATTGCGGTCCAAGGTGACCTGGATCGCGGTGCCGAGTCACAGGTCGCGGCCAAATGAGTTTCTGGGACGTCATGTTAGCAGCCGCGGGGTCTCATAAGGCGGGCAGGAAGCCGTTCCTGGTCGCCAAGTTTGAGCGTGGGCGTGCAGTCTAAGGTAGGATATCGCTGGTGCCACGCGATGGAATACATCAGTGGCTGAAGGGGTTTAGGGATACGTTCCTTAGGTGACTCTGACACAAAAGGACAGTATTGAAACTGAGAGCTTGTCTTTCAGGTAACTTAAGAGGAAATGGCGCAGGCGATAACCAGGGTTTTGGTTGTGTGGCTGTTGTATTGATTGACGATTTCACGCTGTTTACTACAGCATAAGGGTAAGGGGGTCAATGGGTTCGTGGTATTCAAATCAGCATTCCCCCCCCCCCAGTCCCGTCTGCCCCCGGGAGCCCCAGGGGAGGGGAGGGGTCACAGACTGGGTCAATGGAAGTTGGCGCCAGGTGGCCGTCGCTGCTCGAATCAATACCGTCTGGACGGACCGACGGACTGCAAGCTGCAGACACGCACACAAGTCGGAGTAAGACGGGAGCGGGAAGTACGACAAATGTGGGCTGGATTGTAGGGGGAATTCAAACGCTGGTTTGGTCAGTAAAATTGTGCTAATGTACTCTGAACGTAAATTTATTCCATCAGTAGATAATTCACTGCGATAAATTCCAAAGACATCGGTCCGAACGGGTATCGCGGACGCATCACTTATCGCATCTCTGTATCGAGGATGGCCTCTCAGGCTTTTGATCATTGTTCAGACTGGGGGCATTGTCGCTGTTCAGAGGCCGTGAAATCCGGCGCTGAACAAAGCCTGCCCGGGCCGGGGCGTGGCGAAGCCTTCATCGCTGGTCGGACGGAGACACGTGTCTTGGGTGGAGAGGGAGGGGTTTTCAAGACGGCTCCAGCCGATGAAAGTCTGTCTAAAGGGAGCCTATTCCGGGGCAGGGGTTTTGGGCGATTCTTGCCACCCAAAGCCTGCCCAGGGATGGTAAAGGACTGTTCCAGGCTCTCCTAGCCTGTTCATGGTTTTGTTTCCATGGCTATAGCAGCCAGACTGGATACTAAAAGGTGTCTAAGAGAGAACCTAGAAACAGCAAGGGGTTCCAGGGCGGTTCCAGCCTTTCCATGGGTCTGTCCCGAGACTATGGAACACGCGACACGCGCCAGACTGGTCGGAGGGTCGACGGACGGAGGGCGGGGGGGGGGGGGCGTCAGCGCCAGTTGACTCACTGTTCCATCGACCCCACTCCAACTCGACTGGGGTCGGGGAAGGGGAGAGGTTCGGTCCTAGCTACTGGGACGACACGATGAGTCAGTCGTTCCTTGGGCTCAGAAACTACAGCACTTGTCGGTGTGCTCGACAGACAGGCGTCTTGGGTTAAGCTTTGTCACCTCCGGCTTGCCATTGCTAAGCCACTGAGCGTATCGATATTTGCACTAGACTGGCTGTTTTATGCTATCTTAATCCGTCTCTGGGTGTATCCGTGGTGTCGAAAGACTTCCCTATCCCTGAGCCACCCAGTGTCCGACAGACGAGCCTTTGTTCTCCGCTTTTGTTCTAACCCGTTCTCTCTTCCTCCTCAGGCGGACGAGGACAAGGAGAAGGAGGAAGACAATAAGAAGGCCGAGACGGAGGCCAAGGCGGAATAATCCATCCGCCGCCGACTATGACTGGAAATGTTATCTCAGCTGGGAAGAGCGGCGGCCTCCCCCGGAGCCAGAGGCCGCGCGCCGAGAGAGCTCGGTGCAGAGTGAGCAGAGACTGACTGGGTGACCCAGGGGCGCCCGAGCCGCGTCAGGGCGCCGCGGTACCCGGCCGCCGTACATATTGTACCATTTTGTATAAATGTCTGCTTTGATGTGCGCCCGCGCGGCCGATCGGTGGGCTCGCTGTGCCGAGTGCGGAATCGGTGTGCCGCACTCGCGCGTCTTACTCTCGTGACTGAATTTCTAGCTTTTTAGCTGCCAAAGTGTCATTCCAAAATTGGCATTTTATCGCACTACTTTTGTACGGTTTTGTAATACTCATTTTTTACTCTCTCCCTCTATCTAGGCGGTTGTGCGAGTGTCTGGTCCTGTCATGCCTCATCTCTCCCTCACCTTACCGCCCACCGCGTTCGATATCCAAAGATATTTTGGCTATTTTTTGTATAAGTTGCTGGTCTGGGGCGGCTCGGACGGGCCAGTATACCGGCCGCTGATTGGCCGGCGGTCGGTGACGTCGCCGTCGGCGCCGGCCAATCGGCGTGCGCCGTGTCAGCTTGTGGACCAATGCTGTTCTTGCCCCACGCCCGCCACCCTTGCCTGCGCTTTTGTGGGTCGCCGCTGGGGGGCCTCCATACGCCGATGGCAGTGTACGTGTAGCTATCAGTAGGCTAGCCCGTAGAGCAAACAGGCGTTTCGATCAATCAAAATCGATGAAATGTGCGGTTTGCGGCCCAGAGCGAGGAGAACGTTGAAATACATGTACACGTACACGATTGAGATGAGTCTGTGGGCTTGATCTGAATGGCTTGGCATCGAAATCGTACGTGATGAGTCGAGAGACCGTCTGCGGTTGGGTGGGGTGCGACGCAAGCCTTTTGGCGGCTTTTGAGCTGTACTTCCGGCCTCGAGCTTCGCCTAGACGTTCGATATGTGGACCTGGGGCCTGCAACTTGAGCCATCTGCCGCCTGCTCGGGAGTCTGCATTGGGGCGTCGTAACCGGCGAGCTTGATCAATATTGCATTGTTTTGCATACGACAAAACCCTTGTGACCACGGGTTGACGCAAACGCTGGTGAAGCTAGTCAAAACAATTGGGAATTCGGAAGGTGCACAGGGCGTTGTCGAGAAGTGATGCGGTCGATGGCCTCACTTGGGAGTTTTGCTGACTTCAAGGATTCGCAATAATTTCAGCGCAAATGTAGGTAGTCCTTCATGTTTGTGCAAGTAGGCAATTAGTGAAAGCTTGAGAGCTCGTTCTGTTCTCTGTTCCATTATCGAGCGGGTAAGCAATAACTGGTTTGCATATATGGCCACTGTATATGACGTTGAGATGAACTACCGTGCATCGCAATGAGACTTGATTCGGAATATCACATAGCACTGCAAACTCATTTTCTTCCTCGTTCCATCTCTACCCCTCTCCTCCCCCATCCCCGCCACGTGTCCTGCTGTTCCCCCAAGCCGTTTCGTATCCCACCCCCCAGCCCACTGACCGGTCGATCAAGGAAGGCACCGGCCCCTCTCGGCTCTTCCGCACGCGCCGAGAGACCAACCTCTTTGTGATGGCGTACAAAGCTCCGTGACGGCTACCCGGCCGTCTGAAAGGATACGGGATGGGGCGATATTGAAGGCGAAGGCAATCGAGCGCGTGCTAAAATCGAACGGGCAGGGAGATAGAAAATCTGTAGGGTCGTGGTATAATGCGGAGGTGTAATGAGATTGCGTGCGCTTCTGTGTGGTGGTTCTATGGCTATTCAACTGACAGAGAACTGAAATGAGGCGCCTCGAAACGATCAATACGGACCAGAGAAAGCAAAGTAACATCACGGACTTCTCCGCAGAAAAACATACCACTATGGCTGAGCCACCATCAGCGTCAAACAAGAGTCACGACTTGTCCAAAATCAAGTGTCTTATGGTCAACTTGTGCGCTTATTTGTGGAGCTCGAAGTATCAAATTTTGTGCCCGGTGAACTTGTCAGTTCTATATAGCTGAAGAACCCCCAGGCTTCAGCCCTGCCACCTGGTGGTAAAACTATGCGGTGCTGACATCTGCGATTCAGAGATATAGTTTCGGAGCTAAATACCGAAGTGTTTTGGCAGAGGACCTTTACCCAGGCTTATAAGCGTGTAACTGCCTCTTCAGCAAAACCGCAAAAGAAATAATTCAGCCACCCGGTCATTCACACATATGAAGACTTGTTCTTATATATGCCCATTTTATTTCCGTACTGCTGAATCAGCTCAAGAGATGCCTACTGCAGGCAGCGCCGTGATCCGCCCACCTACACGCAAACGGAGCGGAGCTTCAGTACCGTCGTGGCAATCCCGCCGCTGGTCAGAAACTGCTCCAGCTGGCATCTTCTACCCCATTCACAGGGGGGAAAGCACGTGGGGGCGCAGGCCAGCTGGTGGGGAATGGGGCCCCATCGGCAGCAGCGGTACGACGGGTCATCACACCTCGCGAACAAAGACTCGCATCTGGGGAGCTGGTGGGATTTGACTTGAGACTTGAACAGACGACTGGGCCATGGACATTCGCCCAGTATCGGCCATGTGGATGGTATGGTCCCCGCATCTGAAAAACAATGCATGAGCTTCAGCTGTTTAAAGATCGTGATTAGGGCTCTCTATAAGGATATCTTATTTATATTGATAGAGACAAGTAGAAAAACACGGAACAAATAGTGCATGGACGCGTTTCGATTATTAAATCTTCATCAGCATGACATAATCACAGAGAAAACAAGATATATCTTGAGAAAACAAGATATATCTTGTTTTCTCTGTGATTATGTCATGCTGATGAAGATTTAATAATCGAAACGCGTCCATGCACTATTTGGTCCGTGTTTTTTTTAAAGATATCTTAGTTACTTTAGGAACTTATCACTTCAAAACAGGTAGGAACAGGCCTTTTCTCAAGTATGAACGTCTACAAAAAGTCAACATAGTTAGTTTTTCTACAGGCAACATTTGTTTGTGCAGTGCTGTATAGAGATCGTATACGACGATCCCTCCCGATACGATACGATCTCTATATATAGAGTATGCAAATGTTGAACTGTAGAACACACAAGAGTGAAACATTTAATCATTAGTGACGAAATCCCCGATCAGTCAGGGCAGCTTCAACTCACCATCAGTTACCGGTAGAGCCGACTCCGTCGTGCAGGCGACTAGTCCCAGCAGGAGCCAGAGCTTCGGTCCTTTCAGCTTATAAATATCCATGTCTGGTACTTTCTGACTAGCTGTCTTGTCTAGTCTTGTTAGCTAGCCCAGTCCAGTAGAGCTTAGTCTAGTCTGGTATAGTCCAGTCCAGTCAAATCGTAACGAGTTTACACTCGGTTGTGTCGCACGCGCGGTGGTCTTTTCGTGAGTGATTGTGTTGCGGACAACAGCCGCGCCTATTTGAGGACATCGGTGACCTTTTGGTACGGTTCGTTGTTCAGTCGCAAATCCGGCTTTGTGGTAAGGTCGCCGGTTGGTATTTACATGTTGTACACAAACTGCTGAGTAGAGAATGTCAGCGGGATCGACTGTCACGAGGTGCGGGCTGGGAAGAGAGCTGTCAGGTGACACTGTCAGGGGGCTGACAAGTGACTCATGACAGTGACAATTGCTGTGTCACGCTGGAGACGTCTAGTGAGACCAGTAATAAAGACAAATAAGTAAAGGGTTTTGGGCATGGATAGCGGAAGGAAGATAAGAATGAGGGGAGACGATTGATGACACATGGGTTGAGGATCAGTTGAATGGAAACAGATAGCCTGGGAGGAGTGGGACAGTCACACTAGTTACTTGACTAAATCGGCAACAGGCGGCAGGAACGCTGCTTTAGCGATGATCCTAGGTACTTGCGGACCATTGGTCTTCATTTCAAATCTTTATATTCGCGCAAGAGAACACATGTTGGTTCCCAGAGTTCAGTTTAATTGCTCCCGTTCGTCTATTCCTACCTGGTGATCTACGGCTCCGGTTTCATCGGTCCAGTCTCTCCTGCCCCTCCGCCACCGCCGGGTGACGCGTGCCCGCACCTCGGGGGACAGACCGGGCCGCACCCTCCGTCAGCTGTCGGAGCGCACGGCTCCTCCAGGGCACGGCGACACAGCAGACACTCGTCCGCTCCGCCGCCGCCGCCTGAGGGATACAACGAACAAACGTTACACATTGTTCGGGGATGACCATTCCTTGTATAAAACGTTAAGACAATGATTTACTTATCTAGCCATGGGAACGCGTTTAGTTCGTTATTGAGGGTATTGAAGGTACGAAAGTCAAGGAGATAACTTTCACTATCGGTCCCTGCGAGAAACGTGATATTAGCTTACTAAAACGTCAGACAGCACGCATTAAGTGTTCGTGAGAAAACTAGAATATCGGCAATCGTAATCCCCTCTCAAAAAAGAAAACAATACGGTAATAAATATTCGATAAAACAGCTGCAATACTTACATAGAAAAGAGAGCAGAAATCAACTCACCGTCCGACTCCCGCTGACCCGACACTGCAGTCAATGTAGTAAATGTAGCCAGTCCCATCAGCAGCAGCCCGATCAGGACAGTCAGGGCCCGAGCCGAGGTCAGTCTGGGGCGCATCGTTCCTCCACCCGTGACAGAACTGAGCGAGCCGTGTGGCGTAGCAACAGTAGTGCGAACTTAGCCACCAACAGTGGTGACCTTTTGATACGATTTGTCATCGGCTAGTCATTTCCCTAGATCCGTAACATCACAACGATGCAATAGTTACAGCTGAAAAGGAGGTACAAGTACTATCATCAAAGCATCAATGCCTTTCCAACGGAGGATACAAAAAAATCAACCACAACAGACTACAGAGGTCAAGAACAAAAAAGCGGGTGGAGATAGGAGGTAGGAGATAGGAGCCTTAGCACAGATAGGCTGGAGCGTAAGCGAAGCGGACGACTGCGGAGAAAGTCGGAACCAATAGTTATAATTCTCGCCGCAAGTGTTTCGGCCGCGGTCCGACAACTAGACAGAAATATCAGTAGACGGGATATCACCTAACTAGCGCTTGTGACAGATTTCAACCCCTGAACGAATCTGAAGAGCCTCTCGACGGTTACGTACCACAAATCACTATTTTTTACGCAAACGGGTTTCACCTATTTGCCCGTTTCTCTGCCACATTTTGAAAAGTTGACAATTTTTTAAACATCCCATTCATCCTTCATATCAAACTGGCCTCCCTTCCGTTCCTATCCCGTTCCTTCCCTACCCGACCTGTTCCTTCCTCGTCCCGTCTCGTTCACATGCAATCTTATTCTACAATATGACAATTACGCATCGTTTCTTACAAAGTATCTCCTTTATTGACGATCAAGCAAGCGTCTTATGACGAATGAACTCCAGCAAAAATGCGCAGGTACTAGGTGTGAGATGAAAGAACTAGCGCCTTCTGATGAAAGAACAATGTAATACAAGCGTTGTCTCAGTGATACCACAAAATACTAGCAATATGCTCCTCACAATAGAAGTAACAGTATGGCACACAAATGTCGCACATCAGAGTCAGAACACGTAATGCATTCAACTCATTGTCACACATTATCTTTGACGTAGCGTTTTGTACAACTCCCCGCGACAGAGATCCTTCGGTCTTCACGGCAGCTAATCAGGGCGGATCAGAAAACCACACCTCAGTCCACTTTTCATCCTCAGGCAGCTGAATCCAAAACACACATCAGTCCGAGTCTTCGGCACAGTCTCCGTGTCGCTTCCTCCGCTGGATCATGTTGTAGACACAGTACTTCACGTCCCGCCACGTGCGTGAACTCAGAGCCGGTTCCTCCTTCAGCGCCGCTCGGCAGTAGTCCAGCCCGGGAACCACGAGCTTACGAACGAACCAGTTCAGTCTCCGTTCGACGGCTTCCTTCTCCTCCTGCGACCAGGGCCTGCGTTTGTAGGTAGGGCGTCCAACAGGTGACCTCCTGCGCTTGGTGCCCGGGTGGTGACGTAAGGTTCCCTCGCGAGGAGCTAACAGGGTGCGTTCACCAGCCGTCGTGGAATCACTCTCATCGAGAGCGGTATGCTCCCGCTCAGCTCTGGCGTTGCCTTCGAGGTGTTCCTCAGGGCCTCGGGGAACGTCTTGAAACGAGGAAGATGATGTTTCTCTGGCAGTGTTGACCTCAGGATGTTGAGGACTTTCGAGACGCTGCCGCACAGGTTGATTGAGGTTTTTGCACTGTCCTTCAGGTAGTCTGGTACTATTTTGAGGTGCTTCGGTTGCGGTACGTTCTCTGCCGCTCTCTGGATGCTCAGTCCGCTTCGAGTGCTGATCCACAGGTTGACCGTCGCTTCCAGGGTGTCCCCCAGCCTGCTCATAGTTGATACGCTGATCATCTGGGATTGAACTTCTACGGTCAGGAACGTGGCCACGCGATTCCGCTCGCGTTACTTCCGTTCGCTCCGATGTAGTTGCTCCATGATTTCCAGAGACTTTCTCTGTGAGCTGTTGATGTCTGCGGGAAGACCGTCGCCGTCTGTCCCTTTCCGAGGTCCCCAGCCTCGGCGACCTGCTTGTGACGGAGACAGACTTACCGAGAGATTCCTCAGCTATCACCCCAGTCATCACACGCCACTGCCTCTCGTACAGATCCAGAAAACCCACAGCCCCCTGTTTCAGCTTGGCGTCTTCGGCGGTCTTCGCGAGGGTGACCAAGATCCGGGCGCACGAGCTCAGGGACTTGCCCACGGTCCTGGCGAACGCACGCGCGTTGTGTCCGATCCCTCAGCGTCTCGCCTGCCTCCACACGGCCGATGTCAGCTCCTTGAACCTCGCCGGATCCAGACACGACTGCAGCGACACGCCCTCGCGGCGCTTGCGAACTTCGACAAGCACTTCCCCCAGCTCACGCATCCTTCGACAGATCTTTGCCTTGTCGATGGCCAAAGGTCCCAGCTTTGAGAGCACTTTGGCGCCGAACTTCAAGATCAACATGTCCGTTTTGCAGGCGACGCCAACGCTGTCAGTTTCCATTGATGTCAGTAGCTCATCGAGGCCCACGATGGCAGGGCTCTCGCAAAGCCTCTGCTGTTGGGGATGCTCCACGCCATGGACCCTCATCTTGTGTAGGAGCAGCGTACTTCGTAAGTAGAAACCGAAACACTGGTCGCATGATGCATACTCATCATTTCGTGCACACTCATCTTTCTGCACAGTATAATTCCTTTTCCACTTTCGTTTCACCGGGATGATTTCACCTTTACCAGCTGCCATCACCTTGACATTATGTTGAAAATTGCCTCTTTTCACGACACTTAGCCACAGCTCCTTTCTTTCCTTTGAATACTTTGGGTATTTCAGCGCATCAATGACCTCTTTTTCATTTGAGTGCCTTCTCGCCAAATGTCGCGAGATTTTAAACACCTCAGCGCCACAGTACAGGCAGGCACACCGTCTCGTGGGCTTTGGCCTCTTGTCTGCATCACGCTGCGCCGAGGAGCGCTTCTTTGTCGTTCTCTTCCCACCGGACTTTGCTTTACTTGCACCAGCACGGGTTCTTTCGCCGGCAGAGGGTCGTTCTGCCGGGCTGGGACGGTCAGTTGGGGCGTCATCGCTCCCACCTGGTTCTCCATCGCGCTCACCCGGTCCGGGCGAGTCAGCGGCATCCTCCGGTTCCCGTTCAGATGCGGGATCCGGTTCAGAGGCGGGATCCGGTTCCGGTTCGGAGGCGGGATCCGGTTCCGGTATAAAGTCCAAACACAGGAACGGATCGTCTGAGAAAGAGAAAATAAAACCATAAAAGTATTAGCTATACACAGAAAGCACATAAGTACATCAAACGATGCAGACATATGGGCTATATTGGTGAGTGGAACAACATGTTTTATCAACTCTTACAAAATTTTCCACATTTACAAATCAGAATGGCAAAGATGTTCATGTCACCAGCAAAAAATCAAAGATAAGCCTGGTACTTAAGCATGACATGCAGTACAATGAGGAATGAGGATGCATACCTGAGGCAACAGCTGCTGTCACAACGTCCAGCTGGTGCTCATTTCCATCTTCGTCCCGGAGGACGAACCCCGCCGCCACGTCAGGCACAGCCTCTGGAATATAAAAATTACTTATGTGATTGCATGTAGGTAGGTACCCAGCCCTGTGCAAAAAAAAAATGTGACTAAATACAATCAACAGATCAGCTCTCAATCAACCTGCTCAGCAAAGCTTCTACTATCGAATCTGTTGATTTTGCATTTGAGTTGCATTCTACTTTATGAGGGTAGAGGGGAAAACAAGTAGGACATGCATGGCCATCACAGAGCACTTGTGAGAGTATCATCATGTTTTTATCAACTTTCACAACACTATGAATACCCATGAGGTTTGGTGAGCTTTAGTTTCAGAATATTATAGGAATTTATGTGTCAAAATGACTAGCTAGGTTGTCGCCCTCCTTGCGAGGGCAATAACATACATTGAGGCCACTAAAAAAAGCTATCCCAAGGTAACTATTCCCTGCAAATACCTGCCTACAAAGTCAATCAATAGCAACACTGACATAAATGACACAGTGAGTGTTGGGAAAAGTTGGTTCACGCCTGCTAGTGTTGACTGTTGAGTCTGAACAAAAAGCGGGTCGATGGAAAAAGTTTTCAAGTGAAGAGCGATTTTCCTACGTGCTGATCCATAAAACGGTTAAAACATATTTTTTTGCGAATTTTTGAAAAGGAACTGGGCTCCACGGTTTTTCGAGACCACTTTTGCTCATTTTTCTCGTTGTTTGCAAAATTTAGTGGGAAAAATTCAAGAAAGGTACTATATTTACCACTTTCCTAGTTCTACATGCTTACCCCCACCTCTTCACAAAGTTTGGAAACCCCAGTGGCAGAATCGTGCTCAGAATAGCGATTAGCATCGGCGATCTGAGCGCAACGAAACCAGCGCCATCTATTGAGCGAGTTTGGCATAATATTGATTTTGACGGCTTTCTGACCGTTAAGAGCTGACGCAGCCGCTGCCACGTCGGGTATATGGTGTTCTTTGGTGTTCCTAGGTGTCTGGTGTTCCTTATTTGACACTATAGTTCGTTTTTTTCAAAAGGACGCTGGCTCAAAGTTCAATATCGAAGCTCTCACGTGAGTTTTGGCAGCTTCAGTGTCTGGTCAAGAATTTCTTACCGAAAAAATAATCGATTTCAAATTGTGCACGGTAAATAGCTGGAAATTGTTTCTTAAAAATGAACCTACTATGATGACGTCACTGGTGGCAGCAGGCACCCAAATGTCCGTGCAATGGGACAAGTGTCAAAGAATTTGGTTTTTCACTGTTGCCGAGCTTATAATCGAGTAAGCGGTTCCGTCCATGATAGTTATACGTTACATTGCAATACATGTTTGACAGCATTACGTCACCACTGTTCTCATATCTGGTTCCAAAACGCACATATGGAAATTATCTGGAAGAAATCACATGTTAAAATTAGTCAACGTTCGATTTTCTCAGGTTCAGTTTTTGCTCGTTTTGCTCGCTAAAACACGTGCTTGTTCGAAAAGCATACTTGGAGCCAGCGTTCTTTTGAAAAAAAAAAACGAACTATAGGTGAGTTGTACCCATTCGATCCGAAATACTTCAGGAATCATAAATTGCTCCGGAAGCTATACCTATAGTGATTTCGCCAAGAAACAGCGAGATCAGAGATGCTTAACTTTGATATATGTTTATCAGTTAAATTACGTTTTGCAGACAGATAACATCAGTCCAAACCCGAAACCGTATGTTCATTTTTGAATGCAATGTAGCCAGCCACCTTACCGTCCTAGGACAGAAAATCTCACTTCGATAATTGATTCAAACGCCGGCATGAGAGCGTTGCATTGCGTCCTGATGGCTCACGTGATGTAACCGAGACGTACTCTCTACAACAGTGTATGCTGCCTAAGTTAGGAGCCGGACGGCTCGCTCCACTGCCTGAGTAGTGAGTATGGGTATGCACCGGATCGAAATTAATTTGTTAAGCAGCGGGTCGAAGGTCACCCTCTTCCAGCGAGATTGCTATCGGTGACTCTGTAACACGTTCTTTGGACCGATCTATGAGCTGCATGTAGTGCATGACTTGTTTATTGCAAAATGCTGGTAGAATCGCATATCTTTATGTCTCCTGCCTCATTCGCTTCCTATACTTGTTTTTGCCGTAAGTGTCTCGAGTCTTTTTATCACCATTCCTTACTTCAGCAAGCATCGCAGTGTATGCACTGTTTGCTGGCTGTCTGTATTGGCCAGTACAGCCCAAAAAAAGTTTCCTATAGTGAGCCCGGTACTTATTCCTGTCGATCACTGGCCAAATGACACAGACCGATGAGCTGAGAGGTCTCGCAATAGCTGGATGCTTTGGAGTAATTGACCGTCTCTGCAATGTTTACTCCGTAATTTCGGACCACATTGGGACATAGTGAACAACATTGAACTCGGTGATAGTTCGAAGCCGGTCAATATATGCTGTATGATAGGCGATCGCGACGGAATACGTAACTTGCAAGCTGCCAACGTAAGCCATTTTACCAAATTCAAGGGCTCAAGCTTCCCTACTGACAGCTACCTCAGGATTTGTCAAGGGGTGACGCCTGCTTCCGGGCTGTTCAGAAGTGTTCTCTGATCTGGACTGCATGGCGTTGCCCGAAACGGCACGAACGGTTCCTGCTCGATGCACAGGCACTCTTAGTAAATGGTCCACTGATCGGCGCGGCTTTAGTCCAGTGACTTTTCCACAAGTCTTGTAAACTTGTTTAATAGTTTGGCCCTTGTCTGATTTTGGTGTAAAATAGAATAAGCATTGACTACCGGGCTCATTTACTGAAGCAATATGTTCGTCCAGCGGGCTCGTCATAACCGATGATCCAGCACGGCTATCCTATTTATCATGATAAACGACGCATCCTTATACACGTAAAATGCAGAAGTGCATTTTCTTTGTAACCACTTGCCTATCCGAGAACAGAATGTGAAGTGTCACCGAGGACCACCACGCGGCATTAGTTCCGTTTCGACATGGAGGCTCCTTTCCACTAACTGCAACAATGTCACATGATTGAGATCACAAATTGCGTCGGCGACCGCTTAGCAGCTACTACCGCGGTTATTATGAGGTCAGTTTCCCTCAAAGCTCGATGCTCCACTGCTTGTTGCGGTGGCCCAGTCACAATAGGTCATCAAAATAGGATCTGATGGTCCGATGAGAACGCGTGACTCAGGCAGTGATATGATACGCGGATCGCCGATCAGCAGGATACCTCGCAAGTCGCAACTCATCCTCAGTCTGTTGTCAGATGAAGGCGGGCTAAGTTGACGAGGCTAACTTAGTACTTGTTCTGCAATTGAGCTGCTACTGTTCAGTTCTAACACTAGGTTTGAAAGGTTAAATTTACATGCAAGGAAATAATCGAAGCCAAAACTGAAAATAATGCTGCTGAAGTCTCAGCGCAGAATCAAATGACTAATAGGTCCAGCGGACACTATCGCACTTGGCGAATAATGGCTGTGCTAAAGTCAGGTGAACCCCTAATATGTACATGTCATGGCTACTTTAATTGCAATGGACAGCTTTCACGCTATATACGCTCCTGTGCCTCACGTTTTTGTCATCAGCGTCCTAAGATCGCATCAGCAGAATGCATATTGTCTCAACCGACGCAAGGTTAACAGTCCTCTCAAGAGATGGCGCTGCGATCGAGTTGCGGAAAACCGATACAGAGAGCATGGCACCATGGCCACAGTTAGAGAGATACAGCCAATAGACTTACAGAATATGTTGAGGAATAGCTGAAGTTTCGAGGTATATATTTGAAAATAATTAATTATATGATATTTGTGCTCAAAACTCGCGTGCAGTGAAAATGTAGCGAAAACCCCGGTTGATTAATTGGCTGCGGCGACCCGCAACCTCAACCAAAAAAATTGAAAAATTCACACAGTCTTCTTGTGACATGCTCCGTAGGAATTTCCGTCTTCATTTTGTGTCCTCGAAAAAAAGTTGAAAAAAAATGACCCACCCTACTGAACAATCAACTCACCATCTAATGGCTCCTGTTTTACATCATGTAGCTCAAGCTCTAGAGAAGAGGAGTTGAGCTGTGAGATGCCTGGAAAAATGACATTAAATGAGTCAATTGCATTGATTGACAAAGGAGCATTTGTATACAGCTATGAAATGTCATAGAACATAAAATCATCAACATTAAATATACAGAAGCTGTGTTCTATTGCCAATTCAATTTCACATGTTTCAACCATAGAACCTAACTTCAGTCTTCAGCAGAGCACCATGAAAAAAGGATCAAAAGTTACGTCATTAGCGTCGCCACGGGGGGGCAAGCGGGGCAGCTTGCCCCCCCAACCTCGGACCGGGCACCCCCTGAGATCGATACAGATCCGATGAGATTTTGGAGTCGGGAAAAAATGGGGGTACCTTTCTGAGAATGTCCGTGAGGTCAGACTCGGTTGGAGCGTGCAGTTTAAACCAGAGTCTGACTCGCAGTCGCCAAAATCTTCAAGACTCCGAGTCCAGACTCGGAAATGTCAATGCTGTGATTCATTCCATGTTCCTAGTTCGTTCTTTATTACATTTTACAGCTGATTTTCATAAGTTTTGGAGTGCTGACACAATTTTCGTTCAAAGCGTGAAACGAAATCTTCGGGGCCTTTCTCAACTCTCGCCAAATGTCTGCGACAGGCTCAATTACCGTGCAAGTGTCGCAGGGCTCATGAGCTTGCTTTAAACAAAGGCTCCTAAGGAGCTCCACTGAGCCCTAAAGAAGCTTTCAGAGGGCCCAAACGGGCCTCTGAAAGTCCCACTGGTGTCCATGTTCTCTGAGGGCCCATACAGGGATCTTTGAGCCTTCGAACATTTCTGAGAACCTTAACTGGTCTCTGATAGTTCAGCCAAACTTTTGAGGCGACAGACTTTGCTAACCCCAAGCCGGCATCTGAGGGGTCGCAGCTCACGTGTCCCTCACATGTGTTGAGGTCCGCAACACATGTTTATTATGTCCCTGCGTAAGGTCCTTAGGGATTCGACACAGACCCCGAGGGTTCACACTGTTATCCGAGGGCTCCAGGCTCACCCTGGGCCTAGTTTCTTAGCGCCCGCCGCCCTCACTGGCTTCTGAGGGCCCCACCTTGGGCTCGGAAAGCCCTAAAGCACCACGTACACGTAAATATTTGAGGTGACCCACGCCGATCTCCGGGATCCTAAGCATGCTTCTGAGAGTCAGCACTGACCCTGAGTGGCCTGAAATGGCCTGGAAGTCCCAAACCTATCTCTAAGGGATCCCTTGCCGCTATGCCGTGCGTAACTTTTGGTTCCGTTTAACAGTTTTTGTTCGCGTTTGCAGCACTTCCCTTCACACGAAAAACGAGAAACTTTTGTTCACACTCGAGTGAACAAAACACTTCCTCTCACTTGAGCAAAGATGAATTACTTCCGATTCACACTTCCGACATTCACTCTCCGCCGAATGCCCAACTTAGCTACGATCGGTGGCTGGGATAAGTCCTATGCATTTCACGTAAAACCTCTGCATGCATGCGTGAATGGTGGTTTTAGCAGGGTGATCCGATTAAATGGAGCGTTTTTCCCCTTTTTCTGGGTAATGATCATGAGCGTCGAGCGTCTACACAGGGGCCCTCTGCAGTGCGTCGGCAATCGCAGCCACTATATACTATAATTCTACCAGTCGTTTTTGTCATAAAATTTAAAAATTTCGAATTTTTCTGTAAAAAATTACATGTCATAGCTAGAAGAAACCCTTTGTCACCATCGGATTCCTCGCACCATTGCGCGTCGAATGATATGTAAAACGAGTGAGTGAAGACTGGGGAAAGGCAAGTTTTAACACAAAAGTTGATTTTGCCCCCCCCAACCGAAAATCTCTGGCGACGCCTATGAGTTACGTACCTGACAAATGCTCCAATAAGCCAGCATCTGTGATCCCTGGCTCTAGCTTCATCATTCATACAATGACCATCAACATAAGCTGGGTAAATATCCGTAAAAACCAAATTAATGGGCAGTCTGCAAGCAGGTATTTCATCGTCAATTGCACCACGCCAGAAACATTCATATGGCAATGCTGCCGTATAAAGGCAAAACCCATTATGTTCGGGTGACCTCTGACCTGAGGTAATGGCCTCTGACCCGACATAATGGTTTTTGCCTTTGCACGGCAGAATGGTAACCCTAGCATCAAAAAGTCTTTGCTTTATGCTAATGCCTGGTGAGCACACTAGGTAGTAGGTACTGAATAAAATCCATATTTCAATTTTGGTGGACGTCTCGGGAAGGTAAATGAAGGACACATATTTTGACATTACAACACAAACTGTAGCACTTTATAATGATATTACTTCAAATTCTTGTAGGTTTGAAATTATAAGATTCTGTAAGGCATACATTTTTATACTTGCATTATTAATTTTTCTGGTAATTCAGGGACGGTTACCGCTTTATCTATAGCCCCTATAGCCTTGCGCAAGCGTTTCTTAATTCTTATAGGTATCTTGGCGCAAGCTAGTCACGTTGTTCCAGGGGTAGCCAGTAACAGTTGGTAGCATTAGGCCAAATGGGCGCTCAAAAACTACTACCCCATAGGGTTTCCATGTTAAATCGACCTTTTTCAAGCGAGTCCCATACGTGAGTTAAAAGAAAAAGTGCCAATATTATTGTGGGAAAAGGTAGCCTCAAGCTTTCTCTACAACCTTTCTATCTAGCGTTTTTCGATGCGGAGGCCATAACAGGTCCAAAAAGCATTGGGCGCTGCCCGAGGTACCAAAAGCCCCTCCATGAGAGCACAAGTTCCTGCGCATGCGCACTATGCCTCAACCCTGTACTAGCGTAAATTAGTGATCCTGCTCACGGACTCGATCGGCCAATCAGCATCCCCGATTGTATTCATAGATGTCGCTAGCATCACGTAAATCCTGCTTGCGAACACGTTTTAAGTATGAAACAGCTGCGCCATTTCTGCCTTCCACTGATTCCTTCCATCTTAGTACCAACTATACGCTTTTCGACTCACTTTAGACTAAGTTTTAAACTATGGTTGGTATGTTATTTCTGGCATATTTCTGGTACATATAATTAAAAAATAACTGCTTTATGAATTTGACTTTACTCGTCAGAATGGAATACTCTATTTTTCCATATTCAAAAAATATATCACCTACCATGTAACTCATCCAGGTAAAATGGGATGTCCGTGAAGTTAGCGTCAGCAACAGCAACGAATACAGCGTCGGATTCAGAATCGCTTAAAAAACTCATATTAGGTCAATTGGGGGACGGGGAGCAAGAATATGACCTTTATTTGGCCCTAGCTCTTACCCCTTACCCCTTAATCGGCCCTTAAAGGAAGGGGCGCGTCAAAAGTGCCTCAAAGGTTCGTCTGATCGCCAAAATAAGGGTCGCAATCGATTCCCCGGGTCAATATCTAGCCGCATCCTCGGGTTCCAGATGTGTGCAACTTACCCCTTACCCCTTAATCGGCCCTTAAAGGAAGGGGCGCGTCAAAAGTGCCTCAAGGGTTCGTCTGAACGCCAAAATAAGGGTCGCAATCGATTCCTCGGGTCAATATCTAGCCGCAGCCTCGGGTTCCAGATGTGTGCAACTTACCCCTTACCCCTTAATCGGCCCTTAAAGGAAGGGGCGCGTCAAAAGTGCCTCAAGGGTTCGTCTGATCGCCAAAATAAGGGTCGCAATCGATTCCCCGGGTCAATATCTAGCCGCAGCCTCGGATTCCAGATGTGTGCAACTTACCCCTTACCCCTTAATCGGCCCTTAAAGGAAGGGGCGCGTCAAAAGTGCCTCAAGGGTTCGTCTGATCGCCAAAATAAGGGTCGCAATCGATTCCCCGGGTCAATATCTAGCCGCAGCCTCGGGTTCCAGATGTGTGCAACTTACCCCTTACCCCTTAATCGGCCCTTAAAGGACGGGGCGCGTCAAAAGTGCCTCAAGGATTCGTCTGATCGCCAAAATAAGGGTCGCAATCGATTCCCCGGGTCAATATCTAGCCGCAGCCTCGGGTTCCAGATGTGTGCAACTTACCCCTTACCCCTTAATCGGCCCTGAAAGGAAGGGGCGCGTCAAAACGCCCTCAAGGGTTCGTCTGATCGCCAAAATAAGGGTCGCAATCGATTCCCCGGGTCAATATCTAGCCGCAGCCTCGGGTTCCAGATGTGTGCAACTTACCCCTTACCCCTTAATCGGCCCTTAAAGGAAGGGGCGCGTCAAAAGTGCCTCAAGGGTTCGTCTGATCGCCAAAATAAGGGTCGCAATCGATTCCCGGGTCAATATCTAGCCGCAGCCTCGGGTTCCAGATGTGTGCAACTTACCCCTTACCCCTTAATCGGCCCTTAAAGGAAGGGGCGCGTCAAAAGTGCCTCAAGGGTTCGTCTGATCGCCAAAATAAGGGTCGCAATCGATTTCTCGGGTCAATATCTAGCCGCAGCCTCGGGTTCCAGATGTGTGCAACTTACCCCTTACCCCTTAATCGGCCCTTAAAGGAAGGGGCGCGTCAAAAGTGCCTCAAGGGTTCGTCTGATTGCCAAAATAAGGGTCGCAATCGATTCCCCGGGTCAATATCTAGCCGCAGCCTCGGGTTTCAGATGTGTGCAACTTACCCCTTACCCCTTAATCGGCCCTTAAATGAAGGGGCGCGTCAAAAGTGCCTCAAGGGTTCGTCTGATCGCCAAAATAAGGGTCGCAATCGATTCCCCGGGTCAATATCTAGCCGCAGCCTCGGGTTCCAGATGTGTGCAACTTACCCCTTACCCCTTAATCGGCCCTTAAAGGAAGGGGCGCGTCAAAACGCCTTCAAGGGTTCGTCTGATCGCCAAAATAAGGGTCGCAATCGATTCCCCGGGTCAATATCTAGCCGCAGCCTCGGGTTCCAGATGTGTGCAACTTACCCCTTACCCCTTAATCGGCCTTTAAAGGAAGGGGCGCGTCAAATCGCTTTCAAGGGTTCGTCTGATCGCCAAAATACGGGTCGCAATCGATTCCCCGGGTCAATATCTAGCCGGGCCGATTAAGGGGTTAAGGGCCGATTTTAAGGGGTTTAAGGGGTTTAAGGGCCGATTAAGGGGTAAGGGGTAAGTTGCACACATCTGGAACCCGAGGCTGCGGCTAGATATTGACCCGGGGAATCGATTGCGACCCTTATTTTGGCGATCAGACGAACCCTTGAGGGCGTTTTGACGCGCCCCGTCCTTTAAGGGCCGATTAAGGGGTAAGGGGTAAGTTGCACACATCTGGAACCCGAGGCTGCGGCTAGATATTGACCCGGGGAATCGATTGCGACCCTTATTTTGGCGATCAGACGAACCCTTGAGGCACTTTTGACGCGCCCCTTCCTTTAAGGGCCGATTAAGGGGTAAGGGGTAAGTTGCACACATCTGGAACCCGAGGCTGCGGCTAGATATTGACCCGGGGAATCGATTGCGACCCTTATTTTGGCGATCAGACGAACCCTTGAGGGCGTTTTGACGCGCCCCTTCCTTTAAGGGCCGATTAAGGGGTAAGGGGTAAGTTGCACACATCTGGAACCCGAGGCTGCGGCTAGATATTGACCCGGGGAATCGATTGCGACCCTTATTTTGGCGATCAGACGAACCCTTGAGGGCGTTTTGACGCGCCCCTTCCTTTAAGGGCCGATTAAGGGGTAAGGGGTAAGTTGCACACATCTGGAACCCGAGGCTGCGGCTAGATATTGACCCGGGGAATCGATTGCGACCCTTATTTTGGCGATCAGACGAACCCTTGAGGCACTTTTGACGCGCCCCTTCCTTTAAGGGCCGATTAAGGGGTAAGGGGTAAGTTGCACACATCTGGAACCCGAGGCTGCGGCTAGATATTGACCCGGGGAATCGATTGCGACCCTTATTTTGGCGATCAGACGAACCCTTGAGGCACTTTTGACGCGCCCCGTCCTTTAAGGGCCGATTAAGGGGTAAGGGGTAACTTGCACACATCTGGAACCCGAAGCTGCGGCTAGATATTGACCCAAGGAATCGATTGCGACCCTTATTTTGGCGATCAGACGAACCCTTGAGGCACTTTTGACGCGCCCCTTCCTTTAAGGGCCGATTAAGGGGTAAGGGGTAAGTTGCACACATCTGGAACCCGAGGCTGCGGCTAGATATTGACCCGGGGAATCGATTGCGACCCGTATTTTGGCGATCAGACGAACTCTTGAGGGCGTTTTGACGCGCCCCTTCCTTTAAGGGCCGATTAAGGGGTAAGGGGTAAGTTGCACACATCTGGAACCCGAGGCTGCGGCTAGATATTGACCCGGGGAATCGATTGCGACCCTTATTTTGGCAATCAGACGAACTCTTGAGGGCGTTTTGACGCGCCCCTTCCTTTAAGGGCCGATTAAGGGGTAAGGGGTAAGTTGCACACATCTGGAACCCGAGACTGCGGCTAGATATTGACCCGGGGAATCGATTGCGACCCTTATTTTGGCGATCAGACGAACCCTTGAGGCACTTTTGACGCGCCCCTTCCTTTAAGGGCCGATTAAGGGGTAAGGGGTAAGTTGCACACATCTGAAACCAGAGGCTGCGGCTAGATATTGACCCGGGGAATCGATTGCGACCCTTGTTTTGGCGATCAGACGAACCCTTGAGGGCGTTCTTACGCGCCCCTTCCTTTAAGGGCCGATTAAGGGGTAAGGGGTAAGTTGCACACATCTGGAACCCGAGGCTGCGGCTAGATATTGACCCGGGGAATCGATTGCGACCCTTATTTTGGCGATCAGACGAACCCTTGAGGGCGTTTTGACGCGCCCCTTCCTTTAAGGGCCGATTAAGGGGTAAGGGGTAAGTTGCACACATCTGGAACCCGAGGCTGCGGCTAGATATTGACCCGGGGAATCGATTGCGACCCTTATTTTGGCGATCAGACGAACTCTTGAGGGCGTTTTCACGCGCCCCTTCCTTGAAGGGCCGATTAAGGGGTAAGGGGTAAGTTGCACACATCTGGAACCCGAGACTGCGGCTAGATATTGACCCGGAGAATCGATTGCGACCCTTATTTTGGCGATCGGACGAACCCTTGAGGCACTTTTGACGCGCCCCTTCCTTTAAGGGCCGATTAAGGGGTAAGGGGTAAGTTGCACACATCTGGGACCCAAGGCTGCGGCTAGATATTGACCCGAGGAATCGATTGCGACCCTTACCTTGGCGATCAGACGAACCCTTGAGGCACTTTTGACGCGCCCCTTCCTTTAAGGGCCGATTAAGGGGTAAGGGGTAAGTTGCACACAACTGGAACCCGAGGCTGCGGCTAGATATTGACCCGGGGAATCGATTGCGACCCTTATTTTGGCGTTCAGACGAACCCTTGAGGGCGTTTTGACGCGCCCCTTCCTTTCAGGGCCGATTAAGGGGTAAGGGGTAAGTTGCACACATCTGGAACCCGAGGCTGCGGCTAGATATTGACCCGGGGAATCGATTGCGACCGTTATTTTGGCGCGTTTTGACGCGCCCCGTCCTTTAAGGGCCGATTAAGGGGTAAGGGGTAAGTTGCACACATCTGGAACCCGAGGCTGCGGCTAGATATTGACCCGGGGAATCGATTGCGACCCTTATTTTGGCGATCAGACGAACCCTTGAGGCACTTTTGACGCGCCCCTTCCTTTAAGGGCCGATTAAGGGGTAAGGGGTAAGTTGCACACATCTGGAACCCGAGGCTGCGGCTAGATATTGACCCGGGGAATCGATTGCGACACTTATTTTGGCGATCAGACGAACCCTTGAGGGCGTTTTGACGCGCCCCTTCCTTTAAGGGCCGATTAAGGGGTAAGGGGTAAGTTGCACACATCTGGAACCCGAAGCTGCGGCTAGATATTGACCCGGGGAATCGATTGCGACCCTTATTTTGGCGATCAGACGAACCCTTGAGGGCGTTTTGACGCGCCCCTTCCTTTAAGGGCCGATTAAGGGGTAAGGGGTAAGTTGCACACATCTGGAACCCGAGGCTGCGGCTAGATATTAACCCGGGGAATCGATTGCGACCCTTATTTTGGCGATCAGACGAACCCTTGAGGGCGTTTTGACGCGCCCCTTCCTTTAAGGGCCGATTAAGGGGTAATGGGTAAGTTGCACACATCTGGAACCCGAGGCTGCGGCTAGATATTGACCCGGGGAATCGATTGCGACCCTTATTTTGGCGATCAGACGAACCCTTGAGGCACTTTTGACGCGCCCCTTCCTTTAAGGGCCGATTAAGGGGTAAGGGGTAAGTTGCACACATCTGGAACCCGAGGCTGCGGCTAGATATTGACCCGGGGAATCGATTGCGACCCTTATTTTGGCGATCAGACGAACCCTTGAGGCACTTTTGACGCGCCCCGTCCTTTAAGGGCCGATTAAGGGGTAAGGGGTAAGTTGCACACATCTGGAACCCGAGGCTGCGGCTAGATATTGACCCGAGGAATCGATTGCGACCCTTATTTTGGCGATCAGACGAACCCTTGAGGCACTTTTGACGCGCCCCTTCCTTTAAGGGCCGATTAAGGGGTAAGGGGTAAGTTGCAAACATCTGGAACCCGAGGCTGCGGCTAGATATTGACCCGGGGAATCGATTGCGACCCGTATTTTGGCGATCAGACGAACTCTTGAGGGCGTTTTGACGCGCCCCTTCCTTTAAGGGCCGATTAAGGGGTAAGGGGTAAGTTGCACACATCTGGAACCCGAGGCTGCGGCTAGATATTGACCCAAGGAATCGATTGCGACCCTTATTTTGGCGATCAGACGAACCCTTGAGGCACTTTTGACGCGCCCCTTCCTTTAAGGGCCGATTAAGGGGTAAGGGGTAAGTTGCACACATCTGGAACCCGAGGCTGCGGCTAGATATTGACCCGGGGAATCGATTGCGACCCTTATTTTGGCGATCAGACGAACCCTTGAGGGCGTTTTGACGCGCCCCTTCCTTTAAGGGCCGATTAAGGGGTAAGCGGTAAGTTGCACACATCTGGAACCCGAGACTGCGGCTAGATATTGACCCGGGGAATCGATTGCGACCCTTATTTTGGCGATCAGACGAACCCTTGAGGCACTTTTGACGCGCCCCTTCCTTTAAGGGCCGATTAAGGGGTAAGGGGTAAGTTGCACACATCTGGAACCCGAGGCTGCGGCTAGATATTGACCCGGGGAATCGATTGCGACCCTTATTTTGGCGATCAGACGAACCCTTGAGGGCGTTTTGAAGCGCCCCTTCCTTTAAGGGCCGATTAAGGGGTAAGGGGTAAGTTGCACACATCTGGAACCCGAGGCTGCGGCTAGATATTGACCCGGGGAATCGATTGCGACCCTTATTTTGGCGATCAGACGAACCCTTGAGGGCGTTTTGACGCGCCCCTTCCTTTAAGGGCCGATTAAGGGGTAAGGGGTAAGTTGCACACATCTGGAACCCGAGGCTGCGGCTAGATATTGACCCGGGGAATCGATTGCGACCCTTATTTTGGCGATCAGACGAACCCTTGAGGGCGTTTTGACGCGCCCCTTCCTTTAAGGGCCGATTAAGGGGTAAGGGGTAAGTTGCACACATCTGGAACCCGAGGCTGCGGCTAGATATTGACCCGGGGAATCGATTGCGACCCTTATTTTGGCGATCAGACGAACCCTTGAGGGCGTTTTGACGCGCCCCTTCCTTTAAGGGCCGATTAAGGGGTAAGGGGTAAGCTGCACACATCTGGAACCCGAGGCTGCGGCTAGATATTGACCCGGGGAATCGATTGCGACCCTTATTTTGGCGATCATACGAACCCTTGAGGGCGTTTTGACGCGCCCCTTCCTTTAAGGGCCGATTAAGGGGTTAGGGGTAAGTTGCACACATCTGGAACCCGAGGCTGCGGCTAGATATTGACCCGGGGAATCGATTGCGACCCTTATTTTGGCGATCAGACGAACCCTTGAGGCACTTTTGACGCGCCCCTTCCTTTAAGGGCCGATTAAGGGGTAAGGGGTAAGAGCTAGGGCCAAATAAAGGTCATATTCTTGCTCCCCGTCCCCCAATTGACCTAATATGAGTTTTTTAAGCGATTCTGAATCCGACGCTGTATTCGTTGCTGTTGCTGACGCTAACTTCACGGACATTAAAATGGGCGCTTTCCGCGTCGTTGGTGTACCCATAGATATAAAGACGGTGTACCCGTTGTTCTATATACCCTGCTAGTCACCGTGGCGCAAGTCTTGTCAGCGTGCCCAAAATCGTGCCCACATCGTGCCCAAAGCAAAAACAGCAAAAATAAGTTCGTCTTGGTGCGCCATATTTGAAAAACTACCATATCTAGCGCGAATATGAAGTTAAATTATTTCCCCTCTATCGCTAGAATTTCTTGGTTGGAGGTCGCGATTATGCAAATAAATATGCAAATATGCAATATGCATGTGCTTACAGTCAAGTCCTCGGGGTGAATAACTGCCTCCCTGGGCCATAATCTTAAATCTTTCTTAATCCTCCCACGCCAAAGCCAAGGAAATGCTCTGGTGTTACGGGCTACCAATACAATGAATAGCTTTACCTACCTAGGGTGCTACTCTGCTATGACCCGAACCCATTTCAGACTCATTTCTTCTGGTGACTCATCGTATTCCAGAAAGTGTTAGAAAGCCTAATTTATTTGCGATACACTCAAGGGTGACATCAAATTCAAGGGAACGTGTACTGTTCAGTGCTCATCGCCTTACGCCTGACCCACTTCCCTGGTGACAGAGATCATAGGCTTTAGTTCAAACCTTTCCCTGTAGGTAGCGCAGCGGTTCGAATCGATATTTCAGTCCGGAGCATGTGAACAGGGCATGACTGGCGCTCCGCCAGGGGGAGGGGTGTTGAGGGGAGGGGGGGGTCAGGGGGAACGTCTGACGATGTTGGACGGACCAGACACCGGCCGGGGAGCTGGAATCGCCTCGGCAACACCCGGCTTCGGAGATTGAACTTAGAAGCCATTCCCTGTGGAGGACAGGGACAGAAAACGACGGAACGCGAGGAACACGCCAGTCATGAATTGGATGTGGTCAACGAGGGACTCTATGAGGGAGCCATGGGAATTTAAGATAAGCGATGCTATATCAAATATTGCGTTGCATTAAAGTGAGAACTATTTGAACATTGAGCTCACGTAAGAACCCGCAGTCACATTGTGATTTGAGGAAGCGGTGGCTGCCCGAGACGTAACGGCGCGTAGTGCTACCTCGTGCTAGTTGTCCATTGTCCGATATGTACTGTTGCAGTGCACCACAGCCATCATACATCCTGAAAAGCTCAGGCACGGAGGCAAGTCTGGCATATCAGCGTGTAGCAGGCTATGTACTCAACTATCATCAAATGAAAAAATCGCGCAAAAACAACCACCCGATAATTTGTGTACCGCATTCGATAGCGACACTATCACCCAGCCAAACCACCGGGACCGGATCGATAGCACATTCTGAACCCCTGTGCGAAGTAGCTGCAATGAATCGCGAAAAGCAAGTGCAACGCAATACGATGAGTCACGTGTTATCACAATGAGCTATACACATGTTTCGCAAGGTGTTGAAATCATTCCGGTGACCAACATACGAAAGCATCCACAGATTCGCTAGAGGCCTTGCCCCTCTGTCTATTAGTTAAACTTGCTCACTGAACAGGTTCGCTTTTGCTAGTCGTTCAGACATCAAAACTAAGAATATCGAGCTAACATTTATTGATTCAACAGAGCGCGGGGAACCTCTTTCCATATCTGGATGCCATGGACTCGAAACAAACCTGAGGGGTTACATTGTTACGGTTCGGGAGTGACTAGTTTATCAGGTGGGGCCAAATGGGACAGACCATTTAGGCCCACGGATAATCCATGGTCGGATAACACAAATCTTTGGTGACATCACATACCGAAACGAAATCGTGAATCAAGAACGAAAGAATTAGCTGCTTAGGAAAAAACATTTCAACATGAGAGAACACATACATAATTTAGCAAATATGGTCAAACAAAACTATCCTTCGCCAGTACTACGGCGACCAATAATAGCGTTCGTGCTGCGAATAATCGCAGATCTAAACTGTTAACAAATAGATAGGGCCAACCTGGTGAGATATTCTCGTCAAACTGATGACACTGGCCAAAGATTGTGGGTCACAAGACCGTACGGTAGCATTCAGGCCCGGCAAAACAAAGGATACCAGTTAGCGAGTTCTGCAGATCGGGTGGTTAGCAACACGGTCGAGGTCTGATTTCAGACTCGGCAGCACATCCAGGGGTACTGGGGGTCGTTCACAATGATAAGCTCAGTTCGCAGCTGGTAACCGATCCGGATGCATTCTATACCGCCTCGCAACAGCCCAGTGCCTCCATTCGCCGACGGGCGTTCACGACAAGGTTAAAGTAGTCCGACCTAACATCTTTCACAACCAACAAGCGTTAGGAGCGTCAAATCATGTTGCCAGTGAAGCGACGTGATTTGACAGCTGACAACAAGCTAGTGAGAGCTACAACAAGTATCCGCAACAAACAGCCTAAGCACAACATCTTACAGGGAAGCGATGTCTAGCCCATCACACATGGCATTAACGACTGGGCTTTGCACACAGGCCTACAAAGACCTAGCGGGAAAGACTTACAACTGCTTGCATACACACATAAGAAGCGTGCCGCATTCAACAGTGCTTGTGACGGAGTAAGTTAATGCTAGCGCATTGTCGATCACGCAGTGTTTCTTTGGCTGGTTGGTTTCCGTACCCTGTGGTATACCTAACATGCCTCTGAGGGGCGAAGGAGGGATTCTGACTGCGATTGTGACTTTGACGTACTCTTCGCATCCACAGCCCAGAGTGGGACTTCAGACTCTTCCAACTACCGCTACCACTAGCCGACCTATCACTAACCTCAGACTCTAACAGACGCAAGTTCATCAAACTCAACAACTTATCACCTCTCTAACAGTTGTCTCCCTCCCTCACCAACATCTAGGCCAAACTTCCCATTCTACAACAGTTCCCAAATCCCCTAAACACGAAATCCACCAACATCTTTTCAACCACACCAACTCACCCTTCATAACCACGTCATCCTCTAGGCGTAGATAACCCTCATCGTGTTGGTAAATCCCGCTCCCGACTTCCAACCCGTAACAATCACCAGTGGGTCACCATCTCGCACAAACTTCCTATCCTTTCCGTGGTTGACGGCGTACTGGACGCGAATCTCGACATCCTGTAGCCAGTCGGCCACCCGCTCGGCGGTGTGGATCAGGGGGATGATGCCGCGGTGCAGGTGACACTGGCGGGCCACCTGAGGGAACCGTGTCACGGCGATGATCGGACACGGCGGACGGAACCTGGGGGCGAGAGAGGGGGGGGGGGGGGTTAGAGGTACGGGAATGTTGAGATAGTTACACGGCGGGTGGGGCCTGCCGACAGGAGGGGAGGGGAAGGAGGGTTAGGGATAAGAAACTGTGTAGAAGATGTAGAAGAAAAGATGTGGGCAACACTTTGGTAGACTCTATTCAGGTCTAGCGGTCCACGACGACTCAACGGTACACGAACGCACACAACATTTATACAGGGGCATCACGTCATATCACGTCATCAATCATTCATCCCATTGGCTCCCCGTCACATCATTCTTCCCAGTACTACTGACACAATGCCTCGGGCAACCCCTCCAGTCACACACTGATCAGGTTCACTCTACAGTCACTCGATACGGCATGATTCATTCACACTCACATGACCGCTGACTACACCTCCACCTGATTATCAGTAATCATCATCATTATTCATCATCAACATCGATACATTCGCTTGGCACACTCTGTCCATACAGCTCTTCCGGGGCTCTTCTCACACGTGTACTACGCCGCAGTACGGTTTGGCCATTCCTTCAGGCTCGGACTCACAGTCACTCATACTGTCTGTGTTGCCAACCTCCTCAAACCGTCGTCGGACGCAGCGCACATGCCACGGGGCACCATCCACCTCCACCAGTGGTGCCGGTAACAGTCGGGTGACCACGCCCCGCCGCGACACGTCCGTGCACCGCGTCGGCTGACCTCGGCGGCGTATCCACACGGCGTCACCGACCCGGAACGCTTTGCGTGCACTCTGGATGCCATCGTCCACTTCGGACACCGCTCGGCCGGGTTCATCGATGTTCAGCGGGAGGTCGTGACCAGCGCGCTGGAAGACAGCCGCTGCAGGAGCGCTGCTAGGATGCATCCCGTCACGAGGCGTGGCGTTATAGCGGTGCACTGCTTCCCCGATTGTACAGCCTTGTCGGGCTGCCATCACCTTGACTGTCCGATGGTGGCGCTCGACGATGCCGTTGCCGCCCGCCTCGTGCACCGCCCGGAAGCGCAGCCGGACGCCCCACCGCGCGGCGAATGCCGCCATCCGGCGACTGCGGAACTCCGTGGCGTTGTCCAGCAGAAGCTCTGCAGGCGCGCCTCTTTCCAGGAAGATGTTTTCCAGCTGGTTCGTCACCTCAGCCGCATCTGACCGGCGCAGTAGTCGCCAAATTCCATACCGGGATGGTCCACAATCAATAACAGTCAGATAGGACCGTTCCCGGTAGTGCGTAACGTCGATCGCCAGCCGTTCCCACGTCAGCGGCACACTCAGTGACCCTTGCTGCCAACGTACCGGTGCTGGGTCAATGGACTGGCACACATCACACTGTTGGATCACGGCGCGCACTGCCGACCGGGTGGCACGGGCGTCTTCATTCCGCCGCACGTACCAGAGGGTCCGACGGACTCCCTGATGTCCAGTACTCTCGTGCACTGCGCGTATCCGTGTGGGGTCGACATCCGGCCGTGGGTCTGCGATTGCCGCGGCAGCCACCGGCCGTGCGGCAGGCTCTGGGTCCGGTGTTTGGAGCCACTCCTTTGGCACACGAGTCAGCGCATCCGCCAGGTTGTCTGCGGACTTCACCAGGACGACTGTCAGCCTCAGGTTGAACTCCTCCACCAGCTGACGGATGACGTCGATCCTCCGGCGGATGAGCATCTCCCCGTGTGCCTTCGTTCGCAGGCGCGAGCGGCCGGTCAGGGCGTCATCGATCCATTTGTGGACCGTAGCCGAGTCCGTACAGAGATCGATGATGGTGATGCCCCAGGCGATCGCCATGTTCACGCCGCTGAGCGCCGCGTCCAGTTCAGCCATGTTTATGTGCATCGCCGCCTTCGACTCAGGCCGCAGCCAGCTCGCATCCTCCACGACGCCACCCTCGGGGTCCTCCAGGACGACACCGGCAGCGATAGAGCTAGCGTCCGTCCAGACCACCAACTTGTCCCCCTTCAGCCGCCATGGGCCTCGAGCCGGGTCACTGTCGTTCAGTCGGGCCACGACATGATCGACCTGCCCGCGCAGCCCCACGTCCTCTGTTGGGTCGTCCCATCCTGCTGTTAGAGCATTGACGCGCCGTTTGAGCCACGCGGCCGCTGGTCGCAGCCATCCCACCACTGGCAGATGGGACACCAGCTGACCACACCAAGCAAACACAGCCCGACGCGTCAGCACTTCCGGGGGCGCCGGCACTGGGTTGTCACGACGCCAGCACAGCTCTCCAGCGACCGCACTCACCCGCAGTCCGAGCAGCCGTGCTCCCTCCGCCGCCCGCTCCGGCGGCTTGCAGTCCAGGCCGTACCGGGCGAAGTGCTCCGCCACGTGGTCCGCGCTGACGATTTCTTCGTCCACCAGGAGATCGTCCACATAAGGCAGCACTCCTCGGGCCACCACTTCATCCTGGAGCAGGACGGCTCGTACCACGGCCTTCATGACAGCCGGTGCGATGCTCAGGCCAAATCCGATGCGAGTCAGGCAGTATCTCTGACCTCGCACCTCCACCGTCTGGTACGGTCGCAGCCGCCGATCCAACCGTAGCTGAAGGTACGCCTTCCGCAAGTCCACTACAGCAATGCGAGCGCCATGCCGCCGCCAGCGACGAAGCTGATCGGCGCAAACGTCCGCATCTGCAGTGTGTGCGATTATGTGACCATTCAGCTCACGGTAGTCCAGGACAGGCCTCACCTTGTCCTGATTTGGCTGCGGGACCGCCATCAGAGGGATTAAACCTCGGACTGGGCCATCCACCCGCTCGTCGTACGGCTGCAGCCATCCTTCCCGGATCCACAGCTCCAGCTCGGTGTCATATGCTGGTCGAGCTTCCGGCGGCACGGCATACTGGGCGACCTGGTTCTGCAGATACTCCGGGCCTTCCCCGTCTGCCCACTTCCATGCCACCGTCCACTCTCCAGTTTGTGCCTCGAACCGGGCCGAGAAGTCTGCTGCATCCAGCGCCAGCCCCTGGGGGTCGACCTCAGCCGCCGCCGCCGCACAGATCCGCACGTCTGTCGGCGTCCTCAGGCTGATGCCACCTAGGGCCGTGATGCCTGACATGCCCAGCACCATGTCCACTCCCAATGGACGATCAGGCACAACAAAGGCTGCGAGCGTCACTCGTTTGCCTTGGCACTCCATGGTGACTTTGGCCGTCCCACTTGTGGGACCGATTCCCTTCTCTCATATCGTGGTAAAGAGAACACACGTTCGAGCTCCGCTGTCATTCGGAGGCGCGCTCCCTCACGCGTCGTGGTCCGGCCGCCGACCCAAATATAGCCTCGCTCGGCGGACCGGCCCCGTATCCTGTAACCACGGATGCTCTGCTCCCGGCACCGACGCTGACGAACTGTAGACAGTCGGAATACACCTCTCGGCCCGTTCGGTTCTCTTCTCTCGCATCCGCGCCCCTACGACAATGGTGGCAGCGGCGGTCGAGGGGACTTGTGCCCCTCACAACGGACCCCAGCCTCTGCATCTGCATTAACATCGCAGACTGGTTAGTCCGTGCTCCGATACGGTGCGTCGCCCCTACGTCACGTCATCGACTAGGGAGCTGACCTGTGACCATCCTGGACTTGTCATCGTCCAGCTGCACCGTCTCCAGTGAGCAGCTCTGCCCGGCAACATCATCGGCCTGCGGCAACCAACGCCATCAGCTGCACTGGACCTCTACGGAGCCCGCCGACAGCGCACGGCTCATCAGCCTGCGCAGTCCTCCTCAGCGTTATCGAGTGATGGACACCACCTCGTATACAACATCTAGCCTGAAGGAGAGAAGAATTGAAAATTCAAGCTAAAAAAAAAAAACTCAAGAAAAAGTCAAAAATCATTCCACTTAAAAATCGTGATCATGAAAATGAAAAAGATAAATGAACTCTTGATATTTTTATAAAAAAGTGACAGTGATTGATTGGTGAAATCTTGTAAAACAATTGTGAATTTGTGAAAAATTGTACTGTCATGAAATTGTTTTCGTCAGTGTTCTGTGTCGTTTGCAGTGTTTCTGTGGTTACTCTCAAAATTTTACGGAGAAGTACGCAAGTGCAGTTCTTTAATTTTACCAGCACTTGTCTTGTCATTTCGACAGGTAACGTAAATTGAGCATTTTGTAAATGGAATGGACAGTCAATTACGTGCAAATCGTGGTTCAATCACCGAAATTATATATTTGTCTCCAAAAACGGCCAAAGTTGCCGAGGGCCAGAGATGCCCATGGGACGAGCCCTGCCAAAGAGCAGAGGACTCGCCCAGCCGTAAGCTCCACGACCTTGACAGACACGCACAGCGGTCCGGCAATGGTCCTTTTTCTTACCATTTAATAAGATCAACGACCATTCAAGCCACCGTGGCAGGCAGTAGGTGCAATTGCCACGAAACACCTACTTATCTGTTCATACCATTTTGCAATACGCTCAACCCAAAAATTATTCTCCGTTAGCTTGACGTTTGCTCTCTTTACTATGGTCGCTTCGGTTCCCTACGCTTCCCTGGGGGGAGGGAAGATATTGTGGGACCGATTCCCTTCTCTCATATCGTGGTAAAGAGAACACACGTTCGAGCTCCGCTGTCATTCGGAGGCGCGCTCCCTCACGCGTCGTGGTCCGGCCGCCGACCCAAATATAGCCTCGCTCGGCGGACCGGCCCCGTATCCTGTAACCACGGATGCTCTGCTCCCGGCACCGACGCTGACGAACTGTAGACAGTCGGAATACACCTCTCGGCCCGTTCGGTTCTCTTCTCTCGCATCCGCGCCCCTACGACACACTACACCGCAACGACCCACCGTTCACAGTCCTCATCATCACCGTCCGCGGTGTCCACTGCTCACAACAATCCTTGTGCACGAGCGTGTCTGTGCAACCAGTGTCCACCAATACACGCCGCTCACGACCGTCTACCTTGCTCTGGATCACCGGGAGGACGCGATCTATTGCTCCGGGGACAGTGCTCGCGCTGACACGTCCCCCGAGGCGTTTGGGCAGGCCGCGGCGAGATGACCCTCAGTCCCACACGTCCAGCAGCGTCTGGGACGAGGTGGGCGCTTCGGTCGCTGCCGCCGCTGCTGCCGCTGTAGATCATTGTGAACCGCCGCCACAGCTTGCGTCTGGTCATTACCAAGCACCGCCCGCGCGCGGGCGACTGTGCTCTCCAGACTGAGTTGCTCTGACCTGGTTCCTGCTCGGATTGTGTCCGCCACGGACGCCGGCAGACCGTTGACGAAGGCAGCTACCAGCTGTCGGTCCGTCACGCCGCCGAACAGGGCAGCATAGCGGCGCAGACTCGCCAGGAAGACATCAGCGCTCTCCCCCGGCTCTAGCCGACGTGCGACGAATGCTGTGTGAGCCGCGAAGTCGTCCATGGCGAACGCCTTAAACAAGGCGTCTCGTGTCGCCGTTGCTGACCGGCGGTCCACCGCGGACAGCTGTGACCACACGGCGAAAGCACCACCTTTCAGCCGCATGGGCAACACCTCCGCCGCCGACACACCGCGATACTCACAGAGCAGTGACGCCTGCGTGTGCCATTCGACGACGTCGCCGCTCCCGTCGTACTCGTCGATGAGGCGAGGATCGAGTCCAGCTCCGATCCGGACCTGCTCAGATCCCTGCACCACAGCGCCCGTCTCTGTCGGTGTGTCCATGATAATGCCGAAATGCCGAAATAGCTTGTAGAAGATGTAGAAGAAAAGATGTGGGCAACACTTTGGTAGACTCTATTCAGGTCTAGCGGTCCACGACGACTCAACGGTACACGAACGCACACAACATTTATACAGGGGCATCACGTCATATCACGTCATCAATCATTCATCCCATTGGCTCCCCGTCACATCATTCTTCCCAGTACTACTGACACAATGCCTCGGGCAACCCCTCCAGTCACACACTGATCAGGTTCACTCTACAGTCACTCGATACGGCATGATTCATTCACACTCACATGACCGCTGACTACAAACTGCTAACAAACAAAACGAGTGGAGAGTCTTAAGGTGTAAATAAATAATACTTGTGTCGGTAACAAGTAACGCACCGATATACCGACGGAATCAACCATAAGTGGGAAGATACTAGACAGAACTTGTCAACACATGGAAGGGAGAGGAGGAAATGGTAGACAAAAGGAGACGGAAAGTTGGTGACAGAAGCTGTTCATGGAACGGTGATTGAAGGACAAAGTTTCAGAAAGCAATTAACGGAGGGTTGCAGACAGGAACGGCTATAAACACGGGATCCTGGCACACAGATCACTGCTACCGACACACAGACGGAAATGAAGGTAAAGTGACCGCGTTCGAATGCACGGAGATGGGGACGACAGAGGAATGGAACGATTAACGAGCCAGACTGACCAACAACCAAGCGAATTGATCGGCTCGATTGAATGGCGGTAAACAGGGGATGTTGGCAATCGAACAGCCTTGAACTCTTTCTAAAGGTCAAATAACTGACCTTGGGAATAGAAGGGGAAGCGTCGAACAGTGTGAATAATGACCCTATTTAGTGCCGAACAATGAACACTAGCAAGGAATACAGGAAATCAGGATTAGGTACTGCGCAATCTCGACATTGAAGTCTAGTCAACAGAGAACGCAACACAACATCAACCCTATCACATAACCACAAAACTGACTATTGCACAACCACACAGACAAGCTATACCGATCTGATTACGACACATCGGAGGTGTGCCTTTCCTTGCAGCGTCTGAACACTGCATAAACCGACGTCCGCAGCCGGTAAAACACACGTCAGGGACCCACCGCCTCCTGACAGACCCATGGCTCGACGCCAGGGGAACGAAAACGGACCGCGGGGCGGTCGGTGCCAGCGGGCTACGATTGGCGACGGCTGCGAGTTACTGGCCATGAGTGTCATGAGAAGTTGCTACGATACGCATCACACTTAGAGCGTCACTCATGACTTTACAGGGACTCATTGTACTCGATAATTATATGCTGGCTCCAGCAGCTCAATACGGGCATGATCTATGATTGGTCTTGGCAGCTCCCTGCGAGCAGCCATAATCGGTACCGATTGTCTACTCATTATTCCCGTTATACCCTTCTATCTAAGCCCCCCCCCCCAACTCCCCTCGTCCCTCCCAACTCACTTAGACAGCATGTGCGCCGACTTTCCGGTGGTGGTCAGCACCACGATAGCCGCCGCCCTCATCTTCAGCGCCGCCCCTACCGACGCAAACGCCACCGAGCACAGATGGTCAGCGACGTCCACCGTACGAGCCACGTCGTTATAGAAGGCCTGGTGCCAGACCGTGGCCTCCGCCTCACGGCAGCACCGGTCCATCATGGAGACACACTGGAGCGGGTAGTCGCCCTTGGCTGTCTCACCGCTGAGCATGACACAGTCAGAGCCGTCCAGAACTGCGTTGGCTACGTCAGACACCTCAGCACGAGTCGGGCGGGGCTTCTTCACCATGGACTCCAGCATCTGAGTGGCGCAGATGACCGGCTTGCCGGCCATGTTGCAGCGAGAGATGAGAGCCTTCTGGGCGACAAACACCTTCTCTGCGGGGATCTCGATACCCATGTCACCACGGGCGACCATGACACCATCGGACTCGGCGATGATTTCATCCATGTTGAGGATTCCTTGATGATTCTCGATCTTTGAGATGATCTTGATATCTTTGCCCTTCTCGCCGAGGACCTTGCGGATCTCCCGCACGCCGGCTGCGTCGCGGATGAAGGAAGCGAACACCATGTCAACTCCCTGTTCAACACCAAGCAGAAGGTCGCCACGGTCCTTCTCAGAGACGGCAGGCAGGTCGACTGGCGTGCCGGGCAGGTTGACGCCCTTCTTGGAGCCCAGCATGCCGCCGTTCTCGATCTCGCAGAGGACAAAGTCGGGTCCGATCTCGCGAGCAATCAGAGAGATTAGTCCATCGTCGACATAGACCCTTCGCCCGACAGGTAGGACTTTAGTGATGTTGACATAATCGACATACAGCAACTCCGCGGTGCATTTTTCATACGCCGCCTTGTCTGTGGTTAGTTTGATCATCTTCCCAGCGACCAGCTCCACCTCCGCTGATGCACCCCCTTCCAGAAGACCCGTGCGGATCTCCGGTCCTTTCGTATCCAGCGCAATCCCGATCGGCACCGGCCGTCCAGCCTTCTGACTGAGAACCTCCGCCGCCTTCCTTACATTCTCCATAGTCTCAGCGTGATACTCATGCGTTCCGTGAGAGAAGTTCATCCTCGCTATGTTCATCCCCGTCTCCATCAACTCAACCAGCTTCTCCACGGAGCGGGAGACGGGTCCAATGGTGCAGACGATGCCCGTCTTGCGGTGGTCGGCGGGTAGCGAGTCAATGTTGAGCGAGGCAGTGTACTCGAGCAGGGAGAGGGCCAGCTCCGGCGTAGCCGCCGGTGGAGGCGGCGTGGGCGCCTCAGAGGGCATGGTGACGAGACTGCCGGGAGGTCAGGGGGCGGGGTCAGGTGGGGTCACAACAGGTCACACAAATCACAACAGGTCAGGTCAGGTCAGGTCAGGTCACGGCTGTCAGGGTAGAGGTCATGTCAAGTCAGAAAACTCATCACGATTCGGGATGGGAATATGGCGATGCACCTAGTGGGATGTTATGAAGAAAATTTCATCAGCGATTGAAATCGTATCAAAATATTTTGAATGACAGAACTTAGGTGTCAGCAATGAGTGGGCAGTTCTGTACTGAGCGCTCACGACCGGAAAAATATTTGCATGATCGATAATAGACGTACGATTCGATAAAAATTATTATGACAATGCAGTCATTGAAAAGTCAGGTAGCAAATATATCTCGATCGGCGTCACGGCTAACTCAAATATCGCCCCTGGTCGGTCTCCCTCGCAACAATACGGCGTGATCTCACTGGACCGGCGTTTCCTGTGGCACGGCCGCCCAGTTTGTTCGATACCACTGCTGACTCAACACTCAACACCCGTACCGACTCCCCGAGGGTCGGTACGGCTGTGAGCTCGAGTAGTCCTATCGGTTGGGTACCTCGGCGGTGCTCTAACAATACCGTAACCCTTTCATAAACCTCAAACAGTCACCCTTTTCATACCGTACCATCTGCCTGACGTCTCAAGTACCAAAGATTTGATTAGAAATGATGATACTTTTGGTCGGATGATACGCAATCGCCATCGGTGCAATCGTTAGAAGTCCGGTCGAATGAAACGCCCGAGTACTTTTGGTGGCATTAACTCCCAATAAAATGGGAACCCGTTAAAACCGAACCAATAAACAAGCTTTGCGGTGAGCATTCTGCAATGTGCTAGACGCTATTTTTAAGCATTCACATATGCGTCGAAATCGCAAGCACGTTTGACGGTGAAACATTCCCGAGTTATTTCGACCCGTGCTTCCCAGTTACGTAACAAGCAGCATCAATCCGCTATCACGGCATCCGGTGTAAAAACGGGGGACGGTGCACGCCTATCGCGGGGTGCGGAGCCCGTCACGGAACTCTGAACACCGGGACGGGGGGATGGGGCGGCACGAACGCACAAACAGGCACGGAAGCACGCATTGCCGGCGGCAAGGGCACAGAATACGGGCGGTGGTCTGGTGACGATCGGAGGATCGGGGCTGCACAGCAGCCGATGCGCACAGTGAGAGGATAAATGGTCGAGAAGTTGTGGCTAAGCGAGCCAAAATATGCATGCACCTCCCTTGATCTTTAACTCAAATGTACAGTGTTTCGTTTTTTATTTAAAAAAATTAACACAAGAGCTTCTAAGGTCACAGTGATTTGAAAGTAGGTATGTATTCACTGATCCAATTAGAACACTTTCCTGACTGTGATGGAAAATTGACATGATTTAAGAAAGTTTTAAAAATCATATAGAAATAGCAAGGGCTTCTGAATCACAACAACACAGGCTGTGTGATGCAATAGCCATTGACATACAAAAGGTACACTTTCCTGCTCATAAACAGTTGATGATGTGAAGATTAAAGCATAATCTTAATCTTTAATCCCCATCCCTGCCCCATCATCTTAATCTTATAGTTAAGACTTAAAAGCACTATAAAACAGCATGTCACTGATGGACAAAAACTGCTTTACTTTCTTACTTTCTGCTTGATCAAAAATAAAAAAGCAATGACTCAATAATCAATATGAAGTTATTCAAATTTACTAGCAATTTCAGCTTTTGTAACACAAACTAACCTGACCCCTCCCAAAGAAAAAAACAAAATTCAAACACATTAGGAACTGAGGCACTCTCTCATGCATTTTCCATTTTAGTCTGCACAAGTCCATCCACTTACCCAAGAAGGTCGCATCAGTATGTATAAAATGATACACAGTGACAGGGCACTCTCCCCAAAATATACAAATTGCACACTTCTGAACCATTATGCTTACAATGGCACGGGGCACCTTGTCATACTACGTGACCTGCCCATATGTGAATATAAAATTATTGAAATAATACTTGCGGTACTGTGGTACATCATATACCCTCAGATCTAGTTTTTCCTATGGCAACCACTAACCAGGAAACTTTTCAACAGTTGAAATGGGGAAGAAAAGAAAACATAAGTAAATAATGGTTTGACTCAAGCAGCCATACTTTAGACAATGACAACTGATATTTATTTCTAATAATAATTAAATAAAGATGAGATAGCACCAAATAAAAACAAAATAGGCTTAAAGATCAAGATGCCTTTCTTGATGGCGTAGGCGCGGCGTAGGTAGGCTTTCAAATTCCCTTTCCATCGTTATCAAATTCTTGAGGATTTCAGCATAAATTCATGTCAAGCTTCGACAACCAGAACCTCATGTAGATGTGCTGGATACCAAAGTAAAAAATTGCTTACCTTTACCGGAAGGATTGCCAGCCAGAGGAGCAGTCCTCAAAACACGACCAGCCTCGGACGGCTCTCTCTATCGTCTGGAGGTTTCGAAAGATGCTCTCCAGAGATGGCGCTAGTAAATTTGGCTGACATGACGTCATGCTAAAAAGTGATGGATTTTGTGAGAGCAAATGTAATAAAAGTTGAAAATTTTGTACTTTTGCTTAATTAAGAAAAAATAAATATACAATTGTTCAAAACAGCGTTTTTCTCATTCATCCTTCATTGTTTTAAGAGGAATATAGACAATTTAAATATTTTTTCTTGACCGCAATTCGCACACGCACTAAATTAAAAGCTGGAGTTTTGTGCGTTCGTAAATTGTGATTTGAGAAAATAAATTGACAATTATCTTTTGCACTTTTGCTTTACAATCATTTTTCAATGCAGATGAATGCATAAATTATTCAAAAATAGGCATATCTTTGAAATATTATGATTTTCCACAAGCAAATTTTCCCAAAAACTTGAACTACTTACAACTGACGAACGCATCCAATAATCTGGATGTCTTAGGATGAGTTCGTCATTTTTTCCCAAGGAAATACGATACAGTTCAAGCTATTTTACCGATTTATTAGGGTACTTTTGCCAATGAATTAATAAATAAATGACAACAATTAATCTCATTATCAACCATACTCGGAAGCATTTTTTTCGCATAAGCGCGAACACATCCGCGCTTTCATGAAAAGTCACGCCTGTAGATGTCAGGACTGCTGCTTTATGTTTCGCAAGGTGGCGCAGCGCGCAGGGTGCCGACTACCGAGGCTGAGGTCTCCAGACTCTCCACCACGATTTAACTTGGAAATGGCCGATGGGGAAGGTCTCACCCAAAAACGGACGCCCTTTTACACAGCTGCATAAAGAGAATGAATTATTGGCATAGCTGACCACACGTCCCCTCCCCCTCTCCGCCCCAGCTCAATAGGAAATATCGCCTATTTTCCTTAGTCAGTTATATTCTGACTAATTTCTCACTCTTCCCAGTAAACCTTAACATGCATGATGCAGATGTCCACTGCGTAAGTCGTGTGCTTCCGTATGTGTGCCAACTATATAGTGTTGCCTACACTCTACAGTACAGCCTACTGCTTCCCCATTGTCGTTATAATTGGTGATTCTCAGGTCAAAAGTTACACAGTGGTCTCAGAGAACAATCGTTTCAACAAATTAACGATTCAAACCATTGCATTCTACTTATATTCCGGTCAGTTCTGCTACTAAACGATTCCGGCAAAACACTCTTTAGGTTATGTATTAGCGAACCACCACACAAAATTCGCCCAATCAATGGTCAGTTATTACTGCTGGGCTGAACCGTCATACGCTATATAGCCTATTGCAGTCAATATTTTCAGAACGATACTGACTGACGAAACACAACGTATTCGCGGATTCGCACATACGTTGGCACCCAGGTGGCCTGTCAGCAGCCGCACAAATCCGCACAGCGCAGCCGGGATTTGACATTGAGATGGTACACCGTAAAGCATGCCTTTCCACACAGGCACAAGCACAGGGACACAAATTCTCAAAATCCAAACTTATTCCAATACTGGTCAATTGCGAATAGGCATAAAGTTTTGAGGTTTTCTCATGTTCATTCTTCTTTCACTAACACACGCGGCAGACTGCAGCAGCTGCAGAACATCTCACAGAGCTGCGCTGGATGCAGTCATGAGCTGGGACACGGTTTGTGACCAATGACCGATCGGGGGTGCCAGCCTCCTCCCGGCACGCGATGCACTGGCCGCCGCGCAGTCGATGTCGGGGCACCGCCGGCATTCGCCGACAGGGTTCCATCCGATTCGGTGTATTGGTGGCAGCCCGAACAGTGACCCACGCGAAGCTGGCGGACGTCGATGGCCGATGAGCGATGCCCTTCCGCGACCGGCGGTGGCAGTCGGTCCCACATCAAGAACAGATACCAGTCATGCGGTCAGTCGGCGACGGCGCTGTCGCGAGCCGATCTGATGGTCGCGCGGTGGGCGTCGCCGACGTCCACCGGGACCGTCGACTGGGGGAGCGCGGCCGCCTCTTGGCCGCCGCCTCTGGTCGGCGAGCTCGTTGCGCTGTGGGACGGCATCCACTGCAAGTCGTTCACTGTGAAGCGGTCGTTTGACCGGACCTGGCAGGCGGGGAAAGGGGGCCTCAGATGAAGTAAAACCATCCCTCAGGCCAGCTTGAACTGGCTCTCCACCTCACCATGTTAGATAAGCGGACACCCTCGTGATCATCGCAGCGATGATTGCCAATTGGTGTGTCATTATGGGAGAGGATGCCAGCCTCCTTTGCAAGATAGTCTGCCTTTAATATAGTGCAGCCCGACCCATTGCCTGTGGCGCAGACTGGGCTTGATAATGCAGTGCAGGACACACCAAACGTAAGCGGCCATCTGTACCCCCTGTGCAGTAGGGCTGACTCAAGAGCCCAGAGTTGCCCTCCCCCCACCATTCTGTGCACGTGATAACTGGATGGGACATGCCATGGTCAGCATCTGTTCAAAAGCAACCCTAAGCATGTAAAGCTCCACTGGCATGCTCAAGCATGGTCACAGTCAGTTCTCACTTCTCAGTTGAACCTCCAATGGAAACCTATCACAAAGTAGAGATCAGGGCGCCTCTCACACTGCAGCACACTCAACGACTGAGGCACCATCTCATTCTCATCACTTGCAGGTGGTTCTTGCCAGGAGCAATGCCAGCCACGCACATCAGGTGATAACAGCAGTGTACAACTGCAATCTACAAGCATCCATGTTCTTTCTGGTTTTCTCCTGTTGAGATCCACTGCCATGCATGAACTTGATGGGCTTTTGTTGAGCTCCTCCCATGTGCAGACAGGTTTCTGCTGAAACAAAGCAAAGCAAATGTGATTAATAATGGCCCTGTTTCACCATCCAGACACTGTGTGCACTGGTAGCTACGGCATACCATAGCATCACTCAAATGACGTTGCATGTGATCTCTTAGTTTATGATCAATCGCGTTTGGAACAGAGTGAGAGGTTCTGAAAAACCGTACCAAGAACAGAGGTTTGAGTTCAAATACTGCTAGCATGCTGCTGGTGCTGGTACCGCAGCGTGCTAGCGTTCTGGGATGCTGTCATAGCTTAGCGTCACAGTGAAGTTTGTTGACACTGCCATGGAAACCCAATGCTCTGACACACGCAGCGCACTGCAGTGCTGAGCACTGCAGTGCGTGCTCTGCCGTGAAACACCACCCATGAACGTTGGTTGCATGACCAGGATGGAGCAGTGTGGCAGACAGTGATTTTAATTTTAATTGCACTTCCTAGAGATTAAAATGTTGTTGGTGAAATTGCTATTCATTATTCCTATAACCATTGTCTAAATTTCACATTTCAAGACAGCATCAGCATTGACATGTTATATAAAATAAGGTTTAGACTTCAGGTGGTCCCGGGTTCAGCTTAAGTAAAACAAGGGCAAAAAATTGTCAAAAAAATATTTAAAAAAAATACCTGCCTTCATCAACACCTCATCTAATCTAACCTCATCCTCATCTAACAAGGCCCTAAAAGCAAAAACCGTTTGAATAACAATGTAATATTTTGCAACCGCTGCACCATTACTGTCACGTACGCTATCCCTAGATTGGTTGCTGGTAAGTAGTGGTTGTCGTCATCAACTCGTCATGCAGCAGCTGATTGGGATGGGCGGGGCCTATTTTTATCCAGGCGATAGAGAGAGCCCCTCGGACGAAGACCGCAGCAGACAACAGAAAGCCGGCTATGCTTCAACACGGGAAAAGTTTGCGTCACATATCGACACACGCGCGCCGTAGTCGCAGCACAACATAGAGATGGCTAAATCGCTGCTACAGCAGAACTTCTTTGGTTTAATGTTGTTTTCATGCAATATATATCATCACACTACAGTAATGAGTTAAAAAATCATATATATTTCATCTGGCTTATATTTGGATTCATTTTTCGGTCCAAGTTAAGCTTCATTTGTCATGTATTGTGCCCTGTTCGCTGTAAGCTATTTCGTTAGAAAGGTTTACCGTACCGTATAGTGATGAGCTTCAGCTTCTGCCTGCAAGGTCAGTACTTGCGATATTTTCTAGGTGACCGTGACCTTGACATGACCTTGACCGTGACCATGGTACTAACGGCTCCCGGAAACGTAACGCAGTGATATCAAAAGTCAAAACCATAGTCCATAACTATGGTCTATGTGATTCAATGCTTGTTTTGATCTGGGTTTCGCCTGCTACACGACTGATGGTGGCGACTGGCTGACAGGCGATAGAATAGACGATGCATGCATTTTTTTTTAGTCCATTTACAGCTGATGTCGTTGTCATCTTGGTCTGACCATCATGTCTCAAGACTCCCAGATATCGAGAATGAACTAAAAGTGGTGATTTGTGGTCGAGCGCTCATTCCCGGTTTGCATAGGGTTTGTTGCAAGCTTATATCTCCGTCCGTGATGTTGCAAAAGATGCCAATGGTGCTTAACAATTTACAAAATGACCCCCTCTAAATATCTGAAGACCAATGCATCGAAATTATCGCCAAATGAACGAGCTAGAGCCTCGTCAAAAATGCTATGTAAACCGGGTTATTGGTGTCTTAGGTGGCCGTCGGTCAATCATCATGGGAAAAACAAGTATCTCAGGTTGTTCGCCGCTGTTTCTTCGTTCTCGTTGGTCTCTCTAAGATAAGACACAGGCTGCCCTTTGAAACAAAAAAGTTACTGATTGAGGCGCTCGTGTTTCCCCATTTGCATTATTAACGGTATGGGGCAGCTGTTCTGTTACTCTCCGCCAGCGAGTGCAAAAGGCTATAAATTTTGGAGCCCGTATAGTTACTGGCTTGTCCCGGCGTGAGCACGTCACTCCCGCCCTGGAGTCGTTGGGGTGGCAGCGTCTTGACGGTATGTTAGGGGAGAGGGACGCGGCCATGCTGCGCAGGCTGATGTCGTCCGGGGCGCCTCCGGCGTTGGCCGATCTAGTGCGCAGTCGCTCTGAGGTGTCAGTCAGGGCCACTCGCGGTGTGTGCGCTGGTCAATTGGAGCTCCCTAGAGTAAGGACCGAGCGTGGAAAACGTACTTTTCCGTACAGAGCCGTGTCTGTTTGGAA